AAAAACAGGCTAAAGATTGCCAACAACTGAAGGGAGATCACCATACCAGGGCCCAAGGGGACTTACAGTACATTTGCTTCCTGCATGAACCCTAGCTGGATTGACACCATCCCCTGAGATGTTAGCAATTGTGGACAAGCTAGCCAGTAATTAAAAGAACACATATGCTGCGGTTAAAAATAGTAGTACGTTTAAATGTACTATGATTGTTTTTGGACTCACACACCCTCTCAGGAGGACAATAATTTTACAGTACCTTAACCCCCCTCGAAGATACAGCCACTAACAATAACAGTTGCGAATTTAAACTACTAATCATAAAATAATGAATTATGTACACAAATAAGTCATCACAACGTATCACAACGTATGCATCAATGCCATCGCTGTTACAAAACCCATAACATTAATCGACAAGTTGCTCTGTATATACATTTGATCATACTGTACAATTGAAAACATGTACTGTCTGGCAAACGATGAACAGCTGTCTGTCTCGGTGCAGCATCAGTGCCCGGGTGCAGCATCTGAAATAAACAGCACATGATATGTAAGTCATGAGGACATCAGCATCAGGAAGATATAACATTAATGATATAATGGTGATACTTGTAGGAAGCCAAAGTTTATCAGTTTGGAAAGAAGCAAATCAATCCTGGCGGAAATGTAAAGGGAAAAAAAAAACAGTTAAAAAACACCACACCGGTAAGGTGTCAACGACCTTCATAGCCCACGCCAAGGCAAAGGGCCAGCTGTCTCAGTGTCCGCAAACGAACAATCATGAAGAAGGTAAGAATCCGAGCCTTTGCAATTGCATGAAATAAGACAATTGACCATAATCACTGACCTGCACGTTCTTGAGATTCCTCCTGCTCATACACCGCTGTCAAAGTACCACCAGCCCTCTGGAGGAAAGTCAGAAGCACTGCCTTGGTACCAGTCCTGACGTCCTTCATGTACTCCCGTCGCAGGGAACCGGCAAGGTCGTCTGCACCTGCATCGTGGAGTCGCCCAATGGTGTCCTCTATCAGACCACACAGCTGGCTGTTGGTTTTCTTGGTGACATCACTGGCCTCCTCCCGCTCGCCAACCAGGACGAAGACACGCTGGAGGTGATGGTGAGACCCTAAGGGTTTACCAAACATCGTCGCCTCCAAGTACTTCGTCTTTTTGTCCTGGCAAGTCTTGGCGAACGATGACAGATGCAGGTCCAATGCCTTCGCTCCGAGAGACACATGAGGACGTGTTGACATAGGGGTCCCAAGGTATGCCGACTGTCGCAAATGGTGGCGCCAGTGACGTGTCTCCCTCGAGAGGTCCACATGGTGACTGCTCCAGGTGTCCGCTGCAGTCATGTGATCACGGATCTGAAATATTGAGAATCTGGTGTTATGTTTCAGATTGACGAGCTATACAAAAAGACCGACACAGAATGCTATGTACATACGGTGACGTCATCACAACAAAACTTGAAATACAGCACGCCCAAACTAGGAAAGACGTACGATGACCTCACTAGTGTACATGACTTGACTATGTGCTTACAATGTAATACAAGTCAGTTCAGAAATGTCAACAGACGTTCAGAACAATACAGATGTTGATGAAGCGTGTCTGGTGCCAATGTATGTAATGATTGCCAACATTATGTTTCTGGTTTCCCACAAAGTGCCAGATACTGCCACTACCCATGATTCCACTCCTGACTTCCCTTCCCCACATCAGCGCACTGTGACAGTCACCGAGGCACGAATGACGCAGACAGCACTGTCATCCTTCAGGCAAGGTGACTGACAGAGGCGCCGAGTGTGGCATTGAAAGAGACGGGGAAGGGGACAAGGAAAAGGGACCATGGGTAGGATGTGACAGACAGCAATGCAGCTACTGGGCCCACTTCCGATGCCTCGGCTTCGTGGTGACAGGCAGGCACCTGAAATCACTGTCAAAAAGTCCTTTCTACTGTAGTAAACAGAGCATAGAGAACATTTGTTTGTCATTCGCCAATGCTTACCGAATCAAGTGTGTCGAGGTTTCGACAGATCCGTTGCCAGTGGTGAGGCGTTGGTAGACCAGGGGGCATCCACATCTGGATCCTTCCGTTCATAGCCTCACAACGAGTGCTATTTCCAAACCGGAAGTCATGCAATCGTCAAGTTCAGCCGTTCGCGAAGTGGGCCTCCAAGTTTCGGGGTATATTTTCTGTTTTTGGTGTGTTATTTTGTCTCCCAAGTGTAAATGTCCATAGGGTTAGGTAGTTTAGCAGCTCATATATCACAAACGCTCGGGTTTGTGGTGCCAGTGGCTTCTCAAATATGGGTTAAACGATTCCAGTCGTGTAGCAATGCCATGACCGCGGTGCGGAAAGTTGTTGTTAAAGGGCCTCTTCCATGTATGTCCTATTATAGCTCGATCAACCTATAGGCATATAGCTCGTTTGAACTACTATAGCTCGATCTAACTATTATAGGTCGTTTTGCGGTTCTCACCGACCTGATTACATTAGCATATCATAAGCTTTTTGGGGCATTCTTTGTTGATGCATATTTACAAGTTTAAGCCAGTATTTTATTAAACGCCGTTGTGTATGTATATGTTATATTTGGGATTACACTTTCTTGGTAAAGTACAAATTCTGGTACTTTGGGGGTTGAGGCCCCTTTTTGTGGAAATCGCGGTGGCTGAGCGGGTTAGGCGGCTGACTTTGTGTGCTGGCAATTTGCTGCCTGACTGAGGGTGTACTTACAAAATGTACTTACAAGAAGATGAAAATGGAATACCTACAGTCCGTTTGGCTTAAAAACGGACCGATGAATTGCAATCTAACTCGAAAAATAATAAACATCTAATACTTAATGAAACGCTGATCATAATCAATACATCAGACCAACTCTGATTTATTTGCAGAATTTATGTCCTAAAAATAAAAAAGTTGTTTAACAAACTATCATTAAAATTTTGACACAGTTCATTTTACGAACGAGGGAGGAGTGCAAAGAAAGGGACAGACAGGTGTGCGAGAAAGGATGGAGACGGCACAGCACATGTTAATGAATCAATAACTGTGTCGGCATTTGTGCACGTGCTTCTCGAACACCTGGCTGTCCCTTTCTCTGCACTCCTCCCTCGTTACGCATAGTGGACTGTGTCAAAATTTTAATGATAGTTTGTTAAACAACTTTTTTGGTTGAGTCCGGAAAATTTTCAATTATAAGAAAGCTGTTGGGTATTAGTAAATGATAAACGTGTACTATTTATATTTCTGTGGCAATTTTGTACAATGATCAAATTTGCAATTCATCGGTCCGTTTGTGACTCAAACGGACAGTAGATATCTACAGTCCGTTTGGCTCAAAAGCGGACCGATGAATTGCAATCTAACTCTAAAACTAATAAACATAAAATGCTCCATGAAACGCTGATCATAATCAAAACATCATACCCACTCTGTGAGGTTTTTTGCAGAAGTTTTGTCCTAAAAATAAAAATGTTGTTTAACAAACTATCATTAAAATATTGACACAGTTCACTGTTTGTTACGAGGGAGGAGAGCAGAGAAAGGGACAGCCAGGTGTTCGAGAAGCACGTTCACAGACAAAGTTATTTATTCATTAACCTGTGCTGTGCCGTCTCCATCCGTTCAGTAAGTTAACATGCTACTTCATCCCATAACCAAACCAAAACGGTCTACTCACGTCAGCTACTAGTATATCTTCGCCTTGCAATACCACGACTTCCCCACCTCCTCACTGATTACCTCGAGGTGTGAAAAATGGCCACAAGAATAACGCACATGCTCGTTCTCACTCACATCGGCGTGTTCAACTTGTGTCTTTTCGGAGCAACCGAATAGACTTGGCTGCGGAAAGGGACGAGTGGTGAAGAATGGCACGTGCCGACCAGCATTCACGTGCAAGGTACGTGCGCGCGACACGTTCCCAACCAACCGGCTGCGTTCTTGCGATCTTTTCAATCACATATATGACCACTTTAAATCAGCTTGTAGGAATTCTGAGTAAGAAATTAGTGAGTGAGTGAGTTTAGTTTTACGCCACTTTTAGCAATATTCCAGCATTATCACGGCGGGGGACACCAGAAATGGGTTTCACACATTGTACCCATGTGGGGAATCTAACCCGGGTCTTCGGCGTGACGCTACTAGGCTAGGCTTTACCACTAGGCTACCCCACCGCCCTAGTAAGAAATTAGATCCCCAGCAATCTCTGCTTGTCGTAAGAGGAAGCTCAATCAGCTACATGAGTGAGTGAGTGAGTTAAAATTTAACTTCTTGCAATATTTCAGCTATATTGAGTGAGTGTAGTTTTACACCGCACTCAACAATGTTCCAGCTATATTGCTGCGGTCTGTAAATAATCGAGACTGTACCAGGAAATCCAGTGATCAACAGCATGAGCATCGATCTGCGCAATTGGGAACCGATGACATGTGTCAACCAAGTCAGCGAGCCTGACCACCCGATCCCGTTAGTCGCCTCCTACCACAAGCATGGGTTACTGAAGATCAATTCTAACCAGGACCTTCACAGGTATTCAGCTATATAGCGACGAGAAAGGTTTTACATACATAATAAATACAAGTTGTTACAAATCCGCTCGTAGGACTTTAAAATAACTAGAGTACATGGGACGGGTGCAGACTTTTGTGAAATGGGGGCGCACAGTTCATTTTCACACTATTTCACGTGAGTTTCATGCCCCCGCCCCTTTCAGGACGGGGGCTCCTGCAAACCCCACCACCAGCACCACTCTTTTTCTTGCTGAGGGCGGCGTTAAAAAATACACTTGGAGATACATGCCATGTCTGGATTTGAGTGTGCTTACCGAAATAACTATACACACTTTGCTTAGGATCATATTAATACAATATGGATTCAACAGAAAACTATGATGTGGGGTCAAATTTGGTTTTAATATCTAAGATTATGACAGACAGACGGACATTTTATTCAGTAACAGGCCTATAAGATTATTTTAAGCATGGATCCTAGGTTTCAGTGTGTCATTTCATCTTGTGGATCTCATACCTGCTATTGACAGGTGTTGTGTACTTGTCAATGACTCGTTCCATGATTTGCAAAATGGCTGACTGGTGCCATAAAAACCATTGTTATGGTTACTCATGTCTCATGTGCATAATGTTAGATTAAAGTAACTGTTTGCCTAAAGACGGGTTACCATATTATTATTTATCCAGTTTTAAATGGATACAATTTCAAAATATAAATCTACGTTTTAGTAAAGTTGTGAATTTTGGTGATCCTTAGCAAAGTGTGAGTAGTATATATTGTTATATTGTTTCAGTTTCACGTTATATTCACTACCTGCACATTCTACACCCAACCAGGCATTGTGAACTTAAAACGTGATCTAGCATTTCAGTGCAGTGTGGTCTTAGAACTAAACAGTGGATCAGTCAATCATTTCTTTTGATCATGGTTGGTTGATTGGTTGGTTGTTTAACGCCTCACTCAGCAATGTTCCAGCTATTTGGCGGCGGTCTGTAATGGATTTACAACATGTTTATTTCTGGTGATTTACAACACAAGGTTTCTGGGCTACTGTTTGCCGTTTCATCAGGTGTCTGGTCGAGATTTGATTATTTACAGACCGCCGCCATACAGCTGGAATATTGTTAAGTGCAGCGTTATGAAGTGAGTGAGTGAGTATGGTTTTACGCCGCTTTTAGCAATATCCCAGCAATATCACGGCGGAGGACACCAGAAATGGGCTTCACACATTGTACCCATGGGGGGAATCGAGCCCGGGTCTTCAGGGTGACCAAAGGGGCAAGAAGTAGCCCAGAAACGCTGTGTTGTAAATAATAAAGAAGCTGTAAATCCATACTATACGTTGTTATGTTACCTTCTAACTTCTAAATGTCCATCAAGCATCTGGGTCTGGAAGGCGTTTCGTGGTTATATATGGGGCGGTGGGGTAGCCTAGTGGTTAAAGCGTTGGCTCGTCACGCCGAAGACCCGGGTTCGAATGTACAATGCGGTACAATGTGTGAAGGCCATTTCAGGTGTCCCCCGCCGTGATGTTGCTGGAATATTGCTAAAAGCGGTGTAAAAACCAAACTCAGTCAGTCAGTCAGTCGTGGTTATATACAAAATGAACTTGTTCTTTGGTGTGTCTTTTGTGCAAACCTATTACTTTATTTACATCATATTTCTGAATAGAAATGATTTAATGATACGTGGCAATTTAACAGCGAGTAAATGTATAAATGTTGGTTTACTAATAATCGGTAACGGTGCATGTTACATTTGAAGAACAACTTTAACAAATTAAATAACTTGGCCTTCATTGTTCATCCCTAATGTCCACTTCGTCATCAGTAACTGATCCGGCTGTCAATACTCTCCTAATGCATCCTACATTAACAGACACTTCTCATATAACGTATTAGCAAGATACTAGCTGCCAGACAAGAGTTAATGGTTAAATAAAAATAAATGGTTTCTGTATAATTTTCTCTTTCAAGACCTTATTTTTGGTGGCGTCGATGCTGATTTTCAGTGATTGAATCACATTTTAACGCGGTTTTGCTTTTAACGCCCATCTGTAAATTGATGTTATGTTTCAAGAATCATTGTTTATGACACAAGTATTTATTCGTCTCGATATTATGCTGTCCCATAATACCATATAGCATCAACTAAGGGGCTCAACTTTCGATGCACGTATTGTAATTTAACAAGGCATTGTTCGGGAGTTTCATTGGTACGCATTGCAAAATGAATCAGGAATTTCAATATTTTAACTTTATGCCATAGTTAAGGCGGTAGCTGCTGTTTGGTGTGCTGCGTCACAAATCATATACATGGACAATGTCACAGAGTTCAGATTAAGACCTTTTGCGGGCCTTGTCTTCAGTGAATGAAAGTATCTAAGTTATGGGCGTTGAGTAGTACTGTAGTCATCTATGAGTAGTACTGTAAGCAGCTTTGCACCGCTTTTTAGCAATATTCCAGCAAAATCACGGCGGCGTATTCCACACATTGTACCCATATGGGAAATTGAACCCGGGTCTTCAGCGTGACCAGCGAACACTTTACCCACTGGGATACCCCACTGCCCCTCTAAAAATGGAGAGTACTCTCCTGTTGTTCTACTGTGCCCATGTATGCCTAGGCCTGGCCTAATGTGCTATATAGGACCCTCCAGTACGTCTATCCGTAAATTGACAATGTTGTTAGCAATAGGTCTGGTGACACTTCCATCGACAATATCGATCATTGAAGACTGCCTGCATTCAGAATATATAAGTCATGTCATGAATGTCACTACTATTAATTTCATTTGTGATGCCTTGATATTCCTTTACAAACAAATATTGGACTTAATGCTATTGGTCCTGACGTCACACAACGTTTTAAGGGAACCAAGTAAATAAGCCTGTCTGGACCAAGTAAATAACCTTGTCTGGACCAAGTAAATAACCTTGTCTGGACCAAGTAAATGCGACCTTGTCTGGACCAAGTAAATAACCTTTGTCTGGACCAAGTAAATAACCTTGTCTGGACCAAGTAAATAACCTTGTCTGGACCAAGTAAATAACCTTGTCTGGACCAAGTAAATAACCTTGTCTGGACCAAGTAAATAACCTTGTCTGGACCAAGTAAATAACCTTGTCTGGACCAAGTAAATAAATGGACCTTGTCTGGACCAAGTAAATAACCTTGTCTGGACCAAGTAAATAACCTTGTCTGGACCAAGTAAATAACCTTGTCTGGACCAAGTAAATAACCTTGTCTGGACCAAGTAAATAACCTTGTCTGGACCAAGTAAATAACCTTGTCTGGACCAAGTAAATAACCTTGTCTGGACCAAGTAAATAACCTTGTCTGTACCAAGTAAATAACCTTGTCTGGACCAAGTAAATAACCTTGTCTGGACCAAGTAAATAACCTTGTCTGGACCAAGTAAATAACCTTGTCTGTAACCTGGACCAAGTAAATAACCTTGTCTGGACCAAGTAAATAACCTTGTCTGGACCAAGTAAATAACCTTGTCTGGACCAAGTAAATAACCTTGTCTGGACCAAGTAAATAACCTTGTCTGGACCAAGTAAATAACCTTGTCTGGACCAAGTAAATAACCTTGTCTGGACCAAGTAAATAACCTTGTCTGGACCAAGTAAATAACCTTGTCTGGACCAAGTAAATAAATAACCTTGTCTGGACCAAGTAAATAACCTTGTCTGGACCAAGTAAATAACCTTGTCTGGACCAAGTAAATAACCTTGTCTGGACCAAGTAAATAACCTTGTCTGGACCAAGTAAATAACCTTCTGTAAATAACTGTCTGACCAAGTAAATAACCTTGTCTGGACCAAGTAAATAACCTTGTCTGGACCAAGTAAATAACCTTGTCTGGACCAAGTAAATAACCTTGTCTGGACCAAGTAAATAACCTTGTCTGGACCAACTAAATAACCTTGTCTGGACCAAGTAAATAACCTTGTCTGGACCAAGTAAATAACCTTGTCTGGACCAAGTAAATAACCTTGTCTGGACCAAGTAAAACCTAACCTTGTCTGGACCAAGTAAATAACCTTGTCTGGACCAAGTAAATAACCTTGTCTGGACCAAGTAAATAACCTTGTCTGGACCAAGTAAATAACCTTGTCTGGACCAAGTAAATAACCTTGTCTGGACCAAGTAAATAACCTTGTCTGAACCAAGTAAATAACTGGACCAAGTAAATAACCTGGACCAAGTAAATAACCTTGTCTGACCAAGTAAATAACCTTGTCTGGACCAAGTAAATAACCTTGTCTGGACCAAGTAAATAACCTAACCCTTGTCTGGACCAAGTAAATAACCTGTCTGGACCAAGTAAATAACCTTGTCTGGACCAAGTAAATAACCTTGTCTGGACCAAGTAAATAACCTTGTCTGGACCAAGTAAATAACCTTGTCTGGACCAAGTAAATAACCTTGTCTGGACCAAGTAAATAACCCTTGTCTGGACCAAGTAAATAACCTTGTCTGGACCAAGTAAATAACCTTGTCTGGACCAAGTAAATAACCTTGTCTGGACCAAGTAAATAACCTTGTCTGGACCAAGTAAATAACCTTGTCTGGACCAAGTAAATAACCTTGTCTGGACCAAGTAAATAACCTTGTCTGGACCAAGTAAATAACCTTGTCTGGACCAAGTAAATAACCTTGTCTGGACCAAGTAAATAACCTTGTCTGGACCAAGTAAATAACCTTGTCTGGACCAAGTAAATAACCTTGTCTGGACCAAGTAAATAACCTTGTCTGGACCAAGTAAGTAAATAACCTTGTCTGGACCAAGTAAATAACCTTGTCTGGACCAAGTAAATAACCTTGTCTGGACCAAATAAAATAACCTTGTCTGGACCAAGTAAATAACCTTGTCTGACCAAAAATAACCTTGTCTGGACCAAGTAAATAACCTTGTCTGGACCAAGTAAATAACCTTTGTCTGGACCAAGTAAATAACCTTGTCTGGACCAAGTAAATAACCCTGTCTGGACCAAATAAATAACCCAAGTCTGGACCAAGTAAATAACCTTGTCTGGACCAAGTAAATAACCTTGTCTGGACCAAGTAAATAACCTTGTCTGGACCAAGTAAATAACCTTGTCTGGACCAAGTAAATAACCAAGTAAATGTCTGGACCAAGTAAATAACCTTGTCTGGACCAAGTAAATAACCTTGTCTGGACCAAGTAAATAACCCAAGTCTCTGACCAAGTAAATAACCTTGTCTGGACCAAGTAAATAACCTTGTCTGGACCAAGTAAATAACCTTGTCTGGACCAAGTAAATAACCTTGTCTGGACCAACTAAATAACCTTGTCTGGTTACCAAGTAAATAACCTTGTCTGAACCAAGGAACATCATTTATTGTTCACAAAATTCAAACTATGCAAATTCAGAAGTCCTGGAGAACACGAAGATCGTTAGTCATGATTGGGTACCCAGGATTGGCTAAATTAATTTGCATAAATTGATCATCAAACTTACTTTACATGTGTTTTGTAAACAAAGTGTTACTGGAAATATATTTCACATACGTTTTATCTGTATTATATTGTGACAAAACAACACAATATGGCCATTATACTTGAATACCACCTTGTCATCTAAGTTACCGTAACATACCGTATCTATATAGAAATTTAGGCACAATAATGGTGAAATGTTGCTATTCTATTACACAGAGTTACATTAAAAGATACAAAACAAATGAACTGTTCTTCGTTTCATTCATTATTTAAAGTACAGACAGTACACAAGTACAGTGAAAATTCATCCAAACTGTAATCACGTTACCTGTTTAGTTTGATGTAGAATAGCAACAATGATAAGCCAATTCAAAGCAAATAAGCATTTAATGTTTAGAAGAGTTCATGCCATAACTTTAGATCCATAAAACTGTCTTACCTGAGTAGCCCTGATAATGTGTGATCAGTTCTACACAGGTTCTACTCTTGCACATTTCAATCCCGCAACTGAACAAAATGTCCGTCATGCCATGTGCTTTTGGCGCTTGTATGACTGCGCCATTATTACTTCTGGAACCAGTGCACGGTCAGTGCCAAAGGTACGTAACTATTGTGTGCGATCCGTGAAAAATATGATGCTCCTTTGGAAATGAGGTCACGTAAATTACATAACGTAGATTACACAGACGTCCTTCAGCACCTACCAAACGTTTAAAGTGTAAAGAAAGAGGTGAGGTGAAATTGGATTTAACATCGTGCTTGAGAATATTTCGCTCATATGACGACGTGCATGCGTGTGTATGTGTATGTGCAGCTGCTTGTACTAGCCAAGACTTTTTATAGTGCTAGCCCACTGAGATACCATGCCGCAGCGAAGCATGGATACCCCACTCAGACACATTATACTGACTCCGAGCCGACCAGTCCTTGTTGTACCCATTAATGCCGAGCGCCAGGCAGGGACCAACAAGTACCATATTTTAACGTCCTTTGGTATGACACGGTCGGGGATCGAACCCGCGACCTTCCGCTCTCCGGTGTAAAGAAAGAGCACCTTCTTCACTTACTTATTACAACTGAATTGGTCCGTTCATTTTAAAACCCTTTTGGTGGCACTGAATGTACAGTTTTTGTCTTATGGTGGTCAAGTAGATTACATCCTAAACCTTTAAACCTGTGAAGCATCATGGTGAGAAATCGGCTGAAATTTAGTGGCTATGAGATTGATATGGTATTGTCCCCACATAAAACTGTAAATAAGAAATACTATTTAATGAATACATGTAATTTACGTAATAATTATATGGTCATTTTCATGGGGTAACGTAGATTACACATTTTGGGAGACATCATATTAAACATAAATTCGAAAACAAATAAACCGTATGAAGATATGTTCTGGCTTTCTGGGTTTGGACGAAAGGGACAATACCTTATGTCGAAAATGTAATCTGTGTTGTTCACACTACATGACTATTTACTTTGAAATATTCACTCAAAATGTTATACTATCATTGGAGACATGCACATTTTGGTGAATTTGACCAAAGTTTACCCTGAGTCACATACAGGAATAACAGATCATTAACAATTTCGACGTCTCGGATACCTACCAAGCCTGTCGCCTAATATAAACATGAAATGAACAGGTGAAATGAATAACGAATAACGAAAAACGAACCCACTGCTAACTTCAGGCTGCTGATGAACGGATCTTTATCGAGATCTTCCCACAGGTAAAGTCGACGTTCCGGGGAATGGAAAGGAAGTACGACGCTAAACCGGTGTAGATCTGCGTCATGGTCGACCCTATAGTTTTTGGTCATCTCGGCCTTGAGCCGGGTTTCGTATCTCCCGTACAGCTTATCGATGTCATCGGGAGGCATTTTCTAAATTTTATCGGGAGTGTGGTCGCCGCCCAAGTATTGTTTGGCTTTGCCGCCGACCGCCAGCGCCACCAGTCTATCTCGCTTGTCGTCGCTCTTATCATCCGGCGACAAAACATTTGTTCGAGCAGTTCGTTGCACTCCATGTTATAATGTAAACAAGTGATTTTAATTCTAATAATATAATACCCCATGCACACAAAACATAGCGAGATAAAAGTTAAGTTACACACGATGAGGATTTCAAAGTCAACATTTAATATAAAACCATATCAACATTATATAACTGACATGAAAACAACATAAGCGAGGGACCAGGAAAGTGCCGATTCGCGGTCATAGTGACCAGGAAGTTGGCTGGGGATTCAAAAGTGGTATGCACACTAGCGGAGAGATAAGGGCCTGACATAACTGAGTCTTTTGTTGGAAGTGATCTCGTACCCTGTTGTGTACACTACTTCATCAGTTATGTCGACACTTGCACCATCAGTTATACCTAAACCTGGATCATCAGTTATGTCGACACTTGCACCATCAGTTATACCTCTAAACCTGGATCATCAGTTCTACCTACACCTGATCATCACCTACCTAAACCTGGATCATCAGTTCTACCTAAACCTGGATCATCAGTTATATCTAAACGTGGATCATCAGTTATATCTAAACGTGGATCATCAGTTATATCTAAACGTGGATCATCAGTTATATCTAAACCTGGATCATCAGTTATATCTGAACCTTGGTCATCAGTTATACCTAAACCTGGACCATCAGTTATATCAAAACCTGGATCATCAGTTATACCTAAACCTGGATCATCAGTTATACCTAAACGTGGACCATCAGTTATACCTAAACCTGGACCATCAGTTATATCTAAACCTGGATCATCAGTTATATCTAAACCTGGACCATCAGTTATATCTAAACCTGGATCATCAGTTATATCTAAACCTGGATCATCAGTTATATCTAAACGTGGACCATCAGTTATATCTAAACCTGGATCATCAGTTATACCTAAGCCTGGACCATCAGTTATACCTAAACCTGGACCATCAGTTATACCTAAACCTGGATCATCAGTTATACCTAAACCTGGATCATCAGTTATATCTAAACCTGGACCATCAGTTATATCTAAACCTGGATCATCAGTTATACCTAAACCTGGACCATTAGTTTTACCTAAACGTGGACCATCAGTTATACCTAAACCTGGATCATCAGTTATATCTAAACCTTGATCATCAGTTATACCTAAGCCTGGATCATCAGTTATATCTAAACCTGGATCATGTTATATCTAAACGTGGACCATCAGTTATATCTAAACCTGGATCATCAGTTATACCTAAACCTGGATCATCAGTTATATCGAAACGTGAACCATCAGTTATATCTAAACCTGGAGCATCTGTTATATCTAAACCTGGAGCATCAGTTATTTGTAAACCTGGATCATCAGTTATGTCGAAACCTGGAGCATCAGTTATATCTAAACCTGGACCATCATTTATACCAAATTGAATATCTAATATAGTTTAAACTAAATAATATAACATTATATACAAGCATTTCATGATGTCACATACGTTATACACAGCTAACGATTTATGGATCAAACATACGGTCTCCGTAGTCCAGCATAGGGTTGACCCTAACTCAGATCATAACCAATACACGTGTCCCCAATGGGTGGAAATCGTAATGTCAGTTCATCTATCCAGGAATTATGAACAAATTCAGCAAACGTTGATGATCATTTCTCCAATTGGTTAGCGGTACCCGGTGAAAGTTTCAACATAGTGTTCAACGACGTGGTGCTTCTGGACACGACAAATAACACCACATGGCGGTACGTCCTTTGAAAGAAACATTACAGAAGTTGGTTCCGAGTAACATCATGCTTTCGAATATCAGCGTCAGTGTCAACACTTAGGCTTCAGACATGAGAATGATCCGACTTTGCGGCACATTCGCAGAAGGCGCTGCAATTAGGTGTGCAGAGTGACGTCCCTTGGACACGCCAGGACCTATGACTGATTGGTTCGTCCTGATTCCAGGTCTGTGGGCACCATACACACGCATAATGGGTTTCACTAAAATGGTAAACATCCTCATATCTGTATTATTGCAGATTTACTGGCCCGACTGGATATTTACTAGCCACGGGCTAGTGGGCCAGTGGCTATTTCGCACTCTGCTTCGGGCGTACAAGTCGTCTTTAACTCGAACACTTTCCAAATCGACGGTAAAGCAAACTCATTGATTTTAACAATCGATATTTCTTTTCAGTGTTACAATATCCATTTCTTCCAGTGATAATTTCAACGAGCGGCGTATCAGTGTCTGCGTATGTGCATTCAGGAAATAACTATTTTGTCGCCACAACATCTTTGACTTAGACAAACTGGACTGACTAACAGATAGGTACTTTAGCGCTGCTAAGACTCGGCACGAATGAATCATCTGGGATGTAAGATATGGTGTCCTCAACGTCCTTTGGTATGACACGGTCGGGGATCGAACCCGCGACCTTCCGCTCTCCGGTGTAAAGAAAGAGCACCTTCTTCACTTACTTATTACAACTGAATTGGTCCGTTCATTTTAAAACCCTTTTGGTGGCACTGAATGTACAGTTTTTGTCTTATGGTGGTCAAGTAGATTACATCCTAAACCTTTTAAACCTGTGAAGCATCATGGTGAGAAATCGGCTGAAATTTAGTGGCTATGAGATTGATATGGTATTGTCCCCACATAAAACTGTAAATAAGAAATACTATTTAATGAATACATGTAATTTACGTAATAATTATATGGTCATTTTCATGGGGTAACGTAGATTACACATTTTGGGAGACATCATATTAAACATAAATTCGAAAACAAATAAACCGTATGAAGATATGTTCTGGCTTTCTGGGTTTGGACGAAAGGGACAATACCTTATGTCGAAAATGTAATCTGTGTTGTTCACACTACATGACTATTTACTTTGAAATATTCACTCAAAATGTTATACTATCATTGGAGACATGCACATTTTGGTGAATTTGACCAAAGTTTACCCTGAGTCACATACAGGAATAACAGATCATTAACAATTTCGACGTCTCGGATACCTACCAAGCCTGTCGCCTAATATAAACATGAAATGAACAGGTGAAATGAATAACGAATAACGAAAAACGAACCCACTGCTAACTTCAGGCTGCTGATGAACGGATCTTTATCGAGATCTTCCCACAGGTAAAGTCGACGTTCCGGGGAATGGAAAGGAAGTACGACGCTAAACCGGTGTAGATCTGCGTCATGGTCGACCCTATAGTTTTTGTCATCTCGGCCCTGAGCCGGGTTTCGTATCTCCCGTACAGCTTATCGATGTCATCGGGAGGCATTTTCTAAATTTTATCGGGAGTGTGGTCGCCGCCCAAGGATTGTTTGGCTTTGCCGCCGACCGCCAGCGCCACCAGTCTATCTCGCTTGTCGTCGCTCTTATCATCCGGCGACACCAACATTTGTTCGAGCAGTTCGTTGCACTCCATGTTATAATGTAACAAGTGACTTTTTAATTCTAATAATATAATACCCCATGCACACAAAACATAGCGAGATAAAAGTTAAGTTACACACGATGAGGATTTCAAAAGTCAACATTTAATATAAAACCATATCAACATTATATAACTGACATGAAAACAACATAAGCGAGGGACCAGGAAAGTGCCGATTCGCGGTCATAGTGACCAGGAAGTTGGCTGGGGATTCAAAAGTGGTATGCACACTAGCGGAGAGAGATAAGGGCCTGACATAACTGAGTCTTTTGTTGGAAGTGATCTCGTACCCCTGTTGTGTACACTACTTCATCAGTTATGTCGACACTTGCACCATCAGTTATACCTAAACCTGGATCATCAGTTATGTCGACACTTGCACCATCAGTTATACCTAAACCTGGATCATCAGTTCTACCTACACCTGGATCATCAGTTCTACCTAAACCTGGATCATCAGTTCTACCTAAACCTGGATCATCAGTTATATCTAAACGTGGATCATCAGTTATATCTAAACGTGGATCATCAGTTATATCTAAACGTGGATCATCAGTTATATCTAAACGTGGATCATCAGTTATATCTAAACCTGGATCATCAGTTATATCTGAACCTTGGTCATCAGTTATACCTAAACCTGGACCATCAGTTATATCAAAACCTGGATCATCAGTTATACCTAAACCTGGATCATCAGTTATACCTAAACGTGGACCATCAGTTATACCTAAACCTGGACCATCAGTTATATCTAAACCTGGATCATCAGTTATATCTAAACCTGGACCATCAGTTATATCTAAACCTGGATCATCAGTTATATCTAAACCTGGATCATCAGTTATATCTAAACCTGGACCATCAGTTATATCTAAACCTGGATCATCAGTTATACCTAAACCTGGACCATCATCAGTTATACCTAAACCTGGACCATCAGTTATACCTAAACCTGGATCATCAGTTATACCTAAACCTGGATCATCAGTTATATCCTAAACCTGGACCATCAGTTATATCTAAACCTGGATCATCAGTTATACCTAAACCTGGACCATTAGTTATACCTAAACGTGGACCATCAGTTATACCTAAACCTGGATCATCAGTTATATCTAAACCTTGATCATCAGTTATATCTAAACCTGGATCATCAGTTATATCTAAACCTGGATCATCAGTTATATCTAAACGGACCATCAGTTATATCTAAAACCTTGGACCATCAGTTATATCTAAACCTGGATCATCAGTTATACCTAAACCTGGATCATCAGTTATATCGAAACGTGAACCATCAGTTATATCTAAACCTGGAGCATCTGTTATATCTAAACCTGGAGCATCAGTTATTTGTAAACCTGGATCATCAGTTATGTCGAAACCTGGAGCATCAGTTATATCTAAACCTGGACCATCATTTATACCAAATTGAATATCTAATATAGTTTAAACTAAATAATATAACATTATATACAAGCATTTCATGATGTCACATACGTTATACACAGCTAACGATTTATGGATCAAACATACGGTCTCCGTAGTCCAGCATAGGGTTGACCCTAACTCAGATCATAACCACACGTGTCCCCAATGGGTGGAAATCGTAATGTCAGTTCATCTATCCAGGAATTATGAACAAATTCAGCAAACGTTGATGATCATTTCTCCAATTGGTTAGCGGTACCCGGTGAAAGTTTCAACATAGTGTTCAACGACGTGTGGTGCTTCTGGACACGACAAATAACACCACATGGCGGTACGTCCTTGAAAGAAACATTACAGAAGTTGGTTCCGAGTAACATCATGCTTTCGAATATCAGCGTCAGTGTCAACACTTAGGCTTCAGACATGAGAATGATCCGACTTTGGTGGCACATTCGCAGAAGGCGCTGCAATTAGGTGTGCAGAGTGACGTCCCTTGGACACGCCAGGAGCCTATGACTGATTGGTTCGTCCTGATTCCAGGTCTGTGGGCACCATACACACGCTAATGGGTTTCACTAAAATGGTAAACATCTCATATCTGTATTATTGCAGATTTACTGGCCCGACTGGATATTTACTAGCCACGGGCTAGTGGGCCAGTGGCTATTTCGCACTCTGCTTCGGGCGTACAAGTCGTCTTTAACTCGAACACTTTCCAAATCGACGGTAAAGCAAACTCATTGATTTTAACAATCGATATTTCTTTTCAGTGTTACAATATCCATTTCTTCCAGTGATAATTTCAACGAGCGGCGTATCAGTGTCTGCGTATGTGCATTCAGGAAATAACTATTTTGTCGCCACAACATCTTTGACTTAGACAAACTGGACTGACTAACAGATAGGTACTTTAGCGCTGCTAAGACTCGGCACGAATGATTCATCTGGGATGTAAGATATGGTGTCCTCATTGGCGTAACAGTAGCTGCAGTTGGTGACACAGTGCCCGTTGATGATGCGGTTGCTGTCGGATCGTTGTATTGTCACATTACCGTAGCCACTTCTTACAACCCATTGTATTTCAGGGGCGACAACTAGGCCGGTTAGACCAGTGTCTATTCTGAATTGTCTCCCCTTGTTTCCGGTACAGGAAGAGTCTAAGCTACAGTCAAAGGCTCCAGCGTATTCGGCGACTTCGCAGTTGCTGTCGTTAGCAAATGTATGGTCTGTGAGACCATTGTATTCTGTGGTCATTGTATCAGTATCGTCAATTAGGATCTTGTTGTAGCGGAGAGAGACACACGATTCGAACTGGTCATTTCTGCAGCTGGTATCTGAATAGTTGGAGAACGTTTCACGTGGTAAAGTGACATAGTGTTGTGGGGTCCCAGAGTTCATCCCACGACAGAATATCTTCACGGACACGTTGTTGAATATCTGGGGAAATAGCCAGTACTCACCGTCACCATTGAGCGTGCTACAGTTTCGGACTTCCCCGCATGACCGCACCATTCGACACGTCATCGTCGACCATGTTCCATTCGATAGACACGTGACCTTCCCCATCTGGGCTGTAGGAGGTGAACACGTGATGTTGGGGCTGGAGCCGACTGGCCATAGGTCAGTATGATCGATTGATTCTCTGATGGAGTGAAGGATTGTCGGTAGACCCTGGCATCCAATCTCACAGCTGAAGTTGGACCACGTTCCATCTGCCTGGCAAACAGCTTCACCGCTCTTCAGATACCCAGCTGCGCAGCTGTAGCCCAAAGTTGAACCAATTTCATATTTGGTTGTGTTGGGTGAGACGACACCATTGGTTAATCTTGGAGGATCACTGCACTCACTTTGACAAATAGTTCCGGTGCCCTGAACCCAGTTGCCCTGAAATCCCGTGCCCTGAATCCCGGTGCCCAGAACCTTACACACTGAGTTGTCAGGACATGAGTGGTTCTGACATTCTCCCGCGAGTCTTCCTGGCCACTGGTCAATGTCACTGACCACGCTGTTCTGAACACCTACAATATTGCTGGCCACACTGCCAAACGATGATAGCTCATTCAGCTGACATTCCGACTTTCCTAGATCCACGTTGAATGACCTGCACCGTCGTCTCAGTAGACATTGTCTCCCACAGCTGATGACGCCAGTGTTCGGTAAAGTGAGAAATTTCGACCCCAGGAGAACGGTATCTTTCTGAACAGTGCTGATGCTATTAAGGTCCGTACAAAAATGTCCACTACACAGAGGTAGCATATGGAACAGTAAGACTGTTAAATCCTTCAAAGACATCTTGGAATGGTTGTCATGGTGTCTTCGGAGATCCAGATCTTCTAAACGCAAGAGAGTTGTGAATTTGTACTCGATTGATATGTCTATCAAGCATGCACCAGCACTGTAAACACACATAACAACAAACACAAGGGACCATGGTATGATCCGCGCTCTGTTGCATGTACTCAGTGGATGTGTTCGAGTTTATTGATTATTTAAAAACGCAAGATGATCATCAACGTCTAGAGATGATGCATGCACTCGGCCCACCGCAATTGCGATGTCTCATTTCCATTTTGTTCTAATTATACTGACATCGAACCGGGAGAATTCAAACACAGGTGTCTTGTGTCAAGAATTATTCATTGGAAAACTTCGTGATTTGGGTACCAGAACTTGGAGACAGAATGAGTGAACTGGGTTTAGCACAAAATTTAGCATAGCTTCAGCTTAATGCAGGCGTCGTCAGCCTTATGATTAAGACATAAAGAGTGGGTTCTTTACATTGAAGCCTGTGGGATCGAGCCCAGATCACATGAATGAAGAGCCAAGCATATATCCACGACACTACCTTCCTCCCCTTGTGTAGCAACAGTGAGTGAATATGGGTTCAACATTGTACCCGTGTTGGGAATCGAACCCGGATCTTAAGCGTCACGAGCGAAAGCTTTAACCACGAGACTACCCTACCGTCCCTGTGTGGCAACAATGCAAGTGAACATGTGTGGGGATTCGAACTCAGAACCGGAAGGCATTAACCACTGGGCCAACCTGTTGTACTAAGGTATAAAAGAAAAAGGCATCGTTAATTGCTTTTCTTGGCATTATCCGGAAGGGTGAGTGAGTGAGTTTAGTTTTACGCCGCACTCAGCAATATTCCAGCTATATGGCGGCGGTCTGTAAATAATCGAGTCTGGACCAGACAATCCAATGATCAACAGCATGAGCATCGATCTACGCAATTGGGAACCGATGACATGTGTCAACCAAGTCAGCGAGCCTGACCACCTGATCCCGTTAGTCGCCTCTTACAAGCATGGGTTACTGAAGATCAATATTCTAACCCGGATCTTCACGGGTCTTATCCGGAAGAAAGTGAAACGCAAATTCGTGTATGTGTACTCAGAGCTGTATCACCATTCTCATGAGGTTAACGTCAGTGTCATCATAACTTCGGATATAATCCCAATCGGAAGTTATTTCGAGGGTTTTCTGATTAGACTCCCCCACCCCAGTGTTTAAATCTCCCAAAATTACAAGCCAGACAGCCGGACTGGTAACTTTAAAAAATTACCAGTCCGGATAAAAATTGCCTGTCCGGTTTTCAACAATGAAAAAAAATCAGGTTTCTGAATAATTTACTGTTTGTAGGCATCGCAACGAACAACATAGCACTAACAGGCAATGCCCCGAGTTTAGGTAAACTGAAAGTACATGTGCTGTGATTTTGGGACCGTTCATAATTTATGGCTGGGGGTGATGATGAGTTTAGGTGTGTGTGGGGAGATGTTGACAAAAATCTCGACCCGTGGAGAACGGTATCTTTCTGAAAAGTGCTGATGCTATTAAGGTCCGTACAAGAATGTCCACTACACAGAGGTAGCACATGGAACAGTAAGACTGTTCAATCCTTCAAAGACATCTTGGAATGGTTGTCATGGTGTCTTCGGAGATCCAGATCTTCTAAACGCAGGAGAGTTGTGAATTTGTACTCGATTGATATGTCTATCATTATACTGACATCGAACCGGGAGAATTCAAACACAGGTGTCTTGTGTCAGCAGAATTATTCATTGGAAAACTTCGTGATTTGGGTACCAGAACTTGGTTACCTTTGGAGACAGAATGAGTGAACTGGGTTTAGCACAAAATTTAGCATAGCTTCAGCTTAATGCAGGCGTCGTCAGCCTTATGATTAAGACATCAAAGAGTGGGTTCTTTACATTGAAGCCTGTGGGATCGAGCCCAGATCACATGAATGAAGAGCCAAGCATATATACACGACACTACCTTCCTCCCCCTTGTGTAGCAACAGTGAGTGAATATGGGTTCAACATTGTACCCATGTTGGGAATCGAACCCGGATCTTAAGTGTCACGTGACAAAATTTAAAAACGATGCTTAAACATAATGGGAATAGTGGGGGCCGTGGGCGGTCATTGATTTTGTACATTACATGCCGCTTGGTGGGTGTCACATACTTTCTACATATTCACGTTGCACGTGCTTCTCAGATCAGCATCACACCCCATCAATTATGAACTATCTCTTAGATAATAGTGTTGAAAACAAAATATTGTAATATCATTCAGGCTGAAAGGCAAGGAGGGAATGTGTCGGATATATAACTTCCATCACAGAGAATGAAAGGCGGGAAGGGCGTATATCGGATATATAAATAGAAGAGGCCAAACCCTTTCCACGTCCATAAGTAATCTCTACTAAAAGCATGTATTTTGCAGAGTCGATTGTACAACTCTGACTATATCATGAGCATGTATTTGTTTCAGCAGTATTTCAGGTGTGCGATGTTGTTGGTAAACAGTCATTGATTGTCATCATACGACATCACACAGAATGAAAGTCGGGAAGGGTATATATCGGATATATAACTTACACCTCACAGAATGAAAGCCGGGAAGGGTCTATCGGATATATAACTTACACCTCACAGAATGAAAGGCGGGAAGGGTATATATCGGATATATAACTTACACCTCACAGAATGAAAGCCGGGAAGGGTCTATCGGATATATAACTTACACCTCACAGAATGAAAGCCGGGAAGGGTCTATCGGATATATAACTTACACCTCACAGAATGAAAGCCGGGAAGGGTCTATCGGATATATAACTTACACCTCACAGAATGAAAGGCGGGAAGGGTCTATCGGATATATAACTTACACCTCACAGAATGAAAGCCGGGAAGGGTCTATCGGATATATAACTTACACCTCACAGAATGAAAGCCGGGAAGGGTCTATCGGATATATAACTTACACCACACGGAATGAAAGGCGGGAAGGGAATATATCGGATATATAACTTACACCACACGGAATGAAAGGCGGGAAGGGTATATCGGATATACAACACTTTTTTCAAACCTGTATTCATTAGTGTGTGGTATAATTTTACAGTCTTAAGGACCTGGTGTTCAATGTATCGGGCTCTTGCTACCTTTCTTAGGAATTTACTTTAGATATAGTTGTTGCAATTTTACTAAAGTATAAAACACGTGCAAAACCCGACTTAATCGTTAATTGTGTGCGTGCGTGCGTGCAATTTGTCCAATTGTTTCAAACGACCTCCTATATCTTTTGGCACGTGAGGAATGATCGCGGCGGGATATTTGTGGAAGAGAAGACTAAGCAGATAATTTAATAAAAATAATCCCCCAAATATTAATAATCTCTAACTTATGGTAGGCAGCCATGTGTTTAAAAGCTCGGCATGCCGAGCACAACGTTCCAAAGGAAAATACATAAAGTTATTACAGTTTTAGATGATGTTAAGTGGTGTTTTGGAGTATAGGTGGCATGTATGCATTTGACAAGTTCATTTTACCGGACGTGGGTACAGTAAGCACGAAACTGATTGATATCTTTCGACATTACAAGCTGATTACCTCCATTCGTTTGTCGTTTTCCTGACTGATCACACTTGCCGTTACAAGTTGATTACCTCCCTTTGTTTGTCGTTTTCAGTTACTAGTATCTGTTAAAACTCGTAGAGAATTATCTGACGTAAGTATCCCCACAATGTGGTGGGTAATAGACGTCTTGCTCGTTTCACACATACACACCTAAAATTATAAAAGAAAAATAAGGAATATTCGATCTTTTAAATACCCGTGAAGGTCCGGATTAGAATGAGCCTTCAGGAACCCATGCTTGTCGTAAGAGGCGACTAACGGGATCGGGTGGTCTGGCTAGCTGGCATGGTTGACACATGTCATCGTATCCCAATTGCGCAGATCGATGTTCATGCTGTTGATCACTGGATTGTCTGGTCCAGACTCGATTATTTACAGATTGCCGCCACATGGCTGGACTATTGCTGAGTGCGGCGTAAAACTAAAGTCACTCTCTCCCTCGATCTTTTATAGACCTTCAAAATGGCTATAAGCAAATAATTATCAAAGTGCACGCATACCTACAGTTTGATCGTCTTAATGTCTTTTTTGTGTGTGTTTGTTGTAGTAATGAGCCAATTAACGAAGTAATGTGATACCACTGAAAACAATATGAGATGACATGACATGACAAGACAAAAATACATCTTTCACGCTTCTTTCATTTCAGAAACAGAAAATGGTTTCACTCTGTTGACTTCAGACGCGGTAAATAACTTATGAAAACATACCGTAAAACACACACCAACTGACCCGACTGATTTTACCGACCAATCGATAGATTTGAACTGTGATGTATGCTTAAAGATAACGATCTCCTCCAATTGCAACCATGCATGGGAGCACAAAATCAATATCGATCAGAAATATCCCAAGGCTTCATCCCAATGAAAAGAACATGTTTATGACAAATTGTCTGTGTGGAAACAGTGGATTTATTTTGTAAGTTATTCCGCCATGCAGTGACACGTGGGCATGTGACAACGTATGATAAAGATACCACGTGATCTCGACAAGATGAGCGTATCCTGTCCCGCCGATAGCAGCCGAAACACACGCAGAGGCACGTCAAGTTAATAATATGAAGAAACACAGGAGAGCGGGGATGCGGAACGGAGGGAGAAAACGTTTCACGACTTCGTGATCTTCAAATTTCTTAACATCTATCAGACATAACTATATGGCAAGTCAGTGAGTGAGTGACTTGGGTTTTATTCCGCTATTATCAATATTCCAGCAAAATCAGACATAGGGACACCAGACATAGGCTTCACACATTGTACCCATGTGGGGATTCGAACCCGGGTCTTCGGCGTGACAGGCTACCCCACCGCCCCAACAGTTCTTTGAGTAGTATGAAAACACATCAAACTGACACTGACTTTACATACTGATTCAGGGGTGTGGGGTGTTTCAGCCCGTTACCCCCGTATTTCTTCTGATCATCCTGTGCCTAAGAATACAGGCCTAAGCTTTTTATAAAAAAGCATAAACCTAACTCTTAACCCTAAACCTAACCCCACGAAATAATCCTAATAAATACATGTATTCTACATTTAAAGCGGGAGTTACGGGCGGAACTCTTACCCCGGGATTAACGTCCAAGAAGATACCTCTGTAATATTGCCAGTGCAGTTTTCGACAAGTTTTGAAATCAGATGCATAATGATTTCGTTGTATCTTCTCTCATAACATTCAATATTTGAGGGGAGACGAAAGCAGAAACGTTACATTTCTGTGCATGAGCAGTACGACAATGTCCATCGCCCATTCTGAGAAAGTGAAACGCCAAGCTGTCCTCATAGGTTACGTTGAAAGTCTGTAGCCAGGGAAACTGTATGTTGAACTTGCACCTCTCGTTAACCCAGAGTGGCCAAAAGGCGGACGCTAGGAAAAAGAGTGTCCAGAATTGTCATAGCTCGGGGTAAAACGATCATACCTCTGTGTATCTAGCTGGCTCCAGGTACCTTGTTCAGATGTGGCTGGGTCGGTCATTTTTCTTCATTATCATTGAATATTTCCAAAGGTCCACGTTCAAAAAATATACTCTCATTCTGTCAGGTGCCATCGCCGTAGTCATCTACCCGAGTTATTGTGTATCATGGACTAAGTGTTACTCTGGCTTGGGCTACCTTTGTTTGCCTGATTACCTGGACGGCCAGCCAATCATCACCGGCCAATGTAAACTCTTTCACGTCTGAATAAATTGATGTTAAGCATGACCCATTATAATTTTCGGGATACATTCTGGAATGTTCAAAACACAGGGTTCGAATCACTGTTTGGACAATAATTAAAAATCAAAATCTAGACTTTTGCAACTATATGTTGTTTTGTATTTGCTATGATTAATATATATTTCAAATTTGAACGAAATCGGTGATGAAATATATATTTCAGAAAATTCTAACGCTACAGTATTATGTAGAATACACAATGCTTAAACCGATGCTGAAATCTGACTTGTGTGCTGTCGATAAGGTGCCTGACTTTGAGGGTGTGGGTTCGAATCCCGGATGGGAATCAACACAACAAAAGTACTAGAATATGTATTTTACTGAGAAATTATATTCCCAAATATAGCATTTGTTATATTTGACCAGTTTGGCATTATTTATTCATAATAAATTTGTATATGTACCACTATATACAGTTCTGTGTGTATGTTCCACTATATATCCTGTTTCATATGCTATAAAATACAGTTGTGTTCTGAAATGACACCCTTGATGCGTATCTACTATAGTAACATCTGCGACTGTACAGTCCAGACCAGACCGCCATTCTAAAGCTGAGGGGGCGGTGGGGTAGCCTAAAGGTTAAAGCGTTGGCTCGTCACGCTGAAGACCCGGGTTCGAATCCCCACATGGGTACAATGTGTGAAGCCCATTTCTGGTGTCCCCCGCCGTGATGTTGCTGGAATATTGCTAAAAGCAGCGTAAAACCATACTCAGTCAGTCATCCTAAAGCTGAAATATTGGTGAATGAAACGTTAAGCAACGATGAGAACAAAAAAGCACTCACGTCTCTACCATTCTTCGGACATTAATTTCTTAAAGTTGGCTTCCGTTTGAGACAGGGCTATATTGATCTGACCACAAACGATGAAGCAAAGGATCAGCAAGCTGCGAATCTGTTTATTCTTATAACTTTATATATTATAATGCTGAAACCGGATACATCAGCCATCTGCTGCAGCATGACTGCTGGAAACAAATTGGGAAGTGGAATGTGTTATTGCCAGTGTTCCATATTCAAACAGTCTAGACGTCTTTCAGGCGGACCTTTGAGGTCATTGACCTGCTACGTCTAATACTGTAGATGCTATTCCTTGTCTAGAATCAATCATCATCTCGCTGTACAGAAGGTCCACACTTGTCCCAGTGCACCATGAGCAGGGGACATCTGTGTTTCAGCGTCACCAGGGATCGTTTGGCCACAAAAAGACATCAGGACCATGAGAAGACAACTTGGGTTGACCATGAGAAGACAACTTGGGTTGACCATGAGAAGACAACTTGGGTTGACCATGAGAAGACAACTTGGGTTGACCATTAGAAGACATCAGGGACATCAGGGGTTGACCATGAGAAGACATCAGGGGTTGACCATTAGAAGACATCAGGGGTTGACCATGAGAAGACATCAGGGGTTGACCATGAGAAGACATCAGGGACATCAGGGGTTGACCATGAGAAGACATCAGGGGTTGACCATGAGAAGACATCAGGGGTTGACCATGAGAAGACATCAGGGTTTGACCAGGAGAAGACATCAGGGTTGACCAGGAGAAGACATCAGGGACATCAGGGTTGACCAGGAGACATCAGGACATCAGGGGTTGACCAGGAGAAAGACATCAGGGTTGACCATGAGAAGACATCAGGGGTTGACCATGAGAAGACATCAGGGGTTGACCATGAGAAGACATCAGGGGTTGACCATGAGAAGACATCAGGGGTTGACCACGAGAAGACATCAGGGACATCAGGGGTTGACCATGAGAAGACATCAGGGGTTGACCATGAGAAGACATCAGGGGTTGACCATGAGAAGACATCAGGGACATCAGGGGTTGACCATGAGAAGACATCAGGGGTTGACCATGAGAAGACATCAGGGGTTGACCACGAGAAGACATCAGGGACATCAGTGGTTGACCAGGAGAAGACATCAGGGGTTGACCATGAGAAGACATCAGGGACATCAGGGCTTGACCAGGAGAAGACATCAGGGGTTGACCATGAGAAGACATCAGGGGTTGACCATGAGAAGACATCAGGGACATCAGGGGTTGACCATGAGAAGACATCAGGGGTTGACCATGAGAAGACATCAGGGTTGACCATGAGAAGACATCAGGGGATGACCATGAGAAGACATCAGGGACATCAGGGGTTGACCATGAGAAGACATCAGGGGTTGACCATGAGAAGACATCAGGGACATCAGGGGTTGACCATGAGAAGACATCAGGGGTTGACCATGAGAAGACATCAGGGGTTGACCATGAGAAGACATCAGGGACATCAGGGGTTGACCAAGAGAAGACATCAGGGACATCAGGGGTTGACCAAGAGAAGACATCAGGGACATCAGGGGTTGACCAAGAGAAGACATCAGGGACATAAGGGGTTGACCATGAGAAGACATCAGGGGTTGACCATGAGAAGACATCAGGGGTTGACCATGAGAAGACATCAGGGGTTGACCATGAGATGACATCAGGGGTTGACCACGAGAAGACATCAGGGGTTGACCATGAGATGACATCAGGGGTTGACTATGAGATGACATCAGGGGTTGACCAAGAGAAAACATCAGGGGTTGACCACGAGATGACATCAGGGATTGACTATGAGAAGACATCAGGGGTTGACCACGAGAAGACACCAGGGGTTGACCATGAGAAGACATCAGGGGTTGACTATGAGATGACATCAGGGGTTGATCATGAGATGACATCAGGGGTTGACCACGCAATGACATCAGGGGTTGACCATGAGATGACATCAGGGGTTGACCATGAGATGACATCAGGGGTTGACCACGAGATGACATCAGGAGTTGACCACGAGATGACATCAGGGGATGACCATGAGAAGACATCAGGGGTTGACCATGAGAAGACATCAGGGACATCAGGGGCTGACCATGAGAAGACATCCGGGGTTGACCATGAGATGACATCAGGGGTTGACCATGAGATGACATCAGGGGTTGACCACGAGAAGACATCAGGGGTTGACCATGAGAAGTCATCAGGGGTTGACCACGAGATGACATCAGGGGTTGACCACGAGAAGACATCAGGGGTTGACCATGAGAAGACATCAGGGGTTGACCATGAGAAGACACCAGGGGTTGACCACGAGAAGACATCAGGGGTTCACCACGAGAAGACATCAGGGACATCAGGGGTTGACCATGAGAAGACATCAGGGGTTGACCATGAGAAGACATCAGGGGTTGACCATGAGATCATACTTCAGGGACATCAGATGACACCAAGACCCTATTTCATGGACTGCCTGGATCAGCAGAAGACGATAGAGGACATCAGAGGACACCAGCACTTTCAAAGGGACACGAGGCTGTCAGCACCAGCCTGGAGACCACACACCGCCATGTAGAGATGGCTCAGCTAGTAGTGAGCATTGTCTCCTTTGTGCCGGGACCATCGATTTCCGGTACTGGTTGATCTTCAGTTTCATCTTAGCGACCACCTCGGGTTCCTGCAGGACTATGTTCCTCAGCTCTGAAGGATCTTCTGAAACAAAAGCAGGAGTGACTATAGCCCATTTTAAGTTCGCATTCATGTTCTGCAGCTGTTCCGTGTTAAGCCGCCAATACAGATGTTCTCTCTTAAGCCTTCCTACCTCTCAGGTTATACAGCTGCTCTGTATTAAGTCTTCTTACCTCTCAGGTTATACAGCTGTTCTCTCTTAAACCTTCTTACCTCTCAGGTTATACAGCTGTTCTCTCTTAAACCTTCTTACCTCTCAGGTTATACAGCTGTTCTCTGTTAAGTCTTCTTACCTCTCAGGTCATACAGCTGTTCTGTACTAGGTCTTCTTACCTCTCAGGTTATACAGCTGCTCTGTATTTAGTCTTCTTACCTCTCAGGTCATACAGCTGTTCTCTGTGTTAGGTCTTCTTACCTCTCAGGTTATACAGCTGCTCTGTGTTAGGTCTTCTTACCTCTCAGGCTATAAAGCTGCTCTGTATTAGGTCTTGTTACCTCTCGGGTTATACAGCTGTTCTCTGTTAAGCCTTGTTACCTCTCAGGTTATACAACTGTTCTGTTAAGCCTTCTTACCTCTCAGGTTATACAGCTGCTCTGGAAAGTCTTCTGTACCTCCCGGTCATACAGCTGTTCATCCTCTAAGGTATTTTACTTCTGTAGGTCGTTACAGGACTGCTCTGTAGCCGAGGTCTTCTGTACCTCTCCATCTATAAAGCTGCTCTGTATTGTCTATCTTAGTCACCATCTCTAAAACACCAGAGGTTCAGCTGTTCTCTGTTAAGCCTTGTTACCTCTCAGGTTATACAACTGTTCTGTTGAAGCCTTCTTACCTCAACAGGTTATACAGCTGCTCTCTAAAACAACAGGTCTTCTTACCTCTCGTCGTTATACAGCTGTTCTCTGTTAAGCCTTCTTACCTCTCTACAACAATACAGCTGCTCTGGAAGGTCCATCTACAATGTAACAGAGACATGTCAGTGGTAGTCGCCATCCTCTGACAGAGACTTGTTTTTGAGGTCTGTACCAGTCGTTATAGGACCCTGTAGTCGCCATCTCTACAACAACAGTATAGCCGAGGAGACTTGTCTATGAGTCGTCATCTCTAGTCGCCATCTTGAAGTCTCACAACTAAACAACAGAGACTTGTCTATTGTAGTCGCCATCTCTAAAACAACAGACTTGTCTATTGTAGTCTCCCATCTCTAAAACAACAGAGACTTGTCTTGTAGTCTCCATTGAAGTCTCCATCTCTCTAAAACAACAGAGACTTGTCTATTGTAGTCGCCATCTCTAAAACAACAGAGACTTGTCTTGTCTATTGTAGTCACCATCTCTTGTCTAAAACAACAGATACTTGTCTATTGTAGTCTCCATCTCTACAACAACAGACTTGTCGATTGAGTCTCCATCTCTAAAACAACAGTCTTGTCTATTGTAGTCTCCATCTCTAAAACAACAGAGACTTGTCTATTGTAGTCACCATCTCTAAAACAACAGAGACTTGTCTAGAGATCTCTACAACAACAGTTGTCTATTGTAGTCTCCATCTCTAAGTCAACAGAGACTTGTCTATTGTAGTCATCTCTAAAACAACAGAGACTTGTCTTGTATTGAGACTAGTCTATTGTAGTCCATCTCTACAACAACAGAGACTTGTCTATTGTAGTCTCATCTGTAAAACAACAGAGACTTGTCTATTGTAGTCGCCATCCATCTCTAAAACAGAGACTTGTCTATTGTAGTCGCCATCTCTACAACAACAGAGTCTACTTCTACAACAACAGTTGTCTATTGTAGTCGCCATCTCTACAAACAACAGAGACTTGTCTATTGTAGTCTCCATCTCTAAAACAACAGAGACTTGTCTATTGTAGTCTATTGCCATCTCTAAAACAACAGACTTGTCTATTGTAGAGACTTGTCTATTGTAGTCTATCTCTAGAGACTTGTCTCCCATCTCTACAACAACAGAGACTTGTCTATTGTAGTCGCCATCTCTAAAACAACAGACTTGTCTATTGAGTTGCTTGTCTATTGTAGTCGCCATCTCTAAAACAACAGAGACTTGTCTATTGTAGTCGCCATCTCTAACAACAACAGAGACTTGTCTATTGTAGTCGCCATCTCTACAACAACAGAGACTTGTCTATTGTAGTCTCCATCTCTACAACAACAGAGACTCTCTCTACAACAACAGACACTTGTCTATTGTAGTCTCCATCTCTACAACAACAGAGACTTGTCTATTGTAGTCGCCATCTCTACAACAACAGAGACTTGTCTATTGTAGTCTCCATCTCTACAACAACAGAGACTTGTCTATTGTAGTCGCCATCTCTACAACAACAGAGACTTGTCTATTGTAGTTGCCATCTCTAAAACAACAGAGACTTGACTATTGTAGTCGCCATCTCTAAAAACAGAGACTTGTCTATTGTAGTCGCCATCTCTACAACAACAGATACTTGTCTATTGTAGTCGCCATCTCTACAACAACAGAGACTTGTCTATTGTAGTCGCCATCTCTACAACAACAGAGACTTGTCTATTGTAGTCGCCATCTCTAAAAACAGAGACTTGACTATTGTAGTCGTTGTCTATTGTAGTCGCCATCTCTACAACAACAGAGACTTGTCTATTGTAGTCGCCATCTCTACAACAACAGAGACTTGTCTATTGTAGTCTCCATCTCTACAAACAGACTTGTCTAGAGTCGCCATCTCTACAACAACAGACTTGTCTATTGTAGTCGCCATCTCTTGTCTAAGTCATCTCTACAACAACAGAGACTTGTCTATTGTAGTCGCCATCTCTACAACAACAACAGATACTTGTCTATTGTAGTCTCCATCTCTACAACAACAGAGACTTGTCTATTGTAGTTGCCATCTCTACAACAACAGAGACTTGTCTATTGTAGTTGCCATCTCTAAAACAACAGAGACTTGTCTATTGTAGTCGCCATCTCTAAAACAACAGAGACTTGTCTATTGTAGTCGCCATCTCTAAAACAACAGAGACTTGACTATTGTAGTCGCCATCTCTATGGCAACAGAGACTTGTCTATTGTAGTCGCCATCTCTACAACAACAGAGACTTGTCTATTGTAGTCGCCATCTCTAAAACAACAGAGACTTGTCTATTGTAGTCGCCATCTCTAAAACAACAGAGACTTGTTTATTGTAGTCGCCATCTCTAAAACAACAGCGCTCGTCCTTTTGCAATGCACGTGAATGAGGTATTAAGACACAATATAGTGAACAAATGAAAAGCACAAGATGGACTACCGCTCGGGTCGGATTAGACTAATGCTTAGTCTCTGAATATATATAATTTTGATAGTAACAAACAAGCCCATTTATATTGAAAAGGAGCCCTAGGGAGACCAGAGATTCAGAACCTGTGGAAATCTTGACTTGCTTTATTTAGGGCTTTAGCACTGCAGAGAGGGCTTGGCAGTGGGGAAAATAATGTGGTTCAGGGACTGTGAGACAGACTAGGGTTGGATCACAATACTGCAATACCTTGCTGACCGGTCATTAATCTGGATTAGCAGACCATGTCTCGTGTGAAAACACGTGGGACTCGCGCGCTTCCCTTCACACGCTCAGCGGTAGATCAAAGCTTCGTGCGGGTACGCGAATCAAGTTTGTGTTGATTTAGCCGGTTGGTTTGTAAAATATGCCGTCCGGAAACGGAAACCGAATATCCGTTATGGACAGTAACTTTTATAACGTAAGAGATTATTTTTTTCTAAAAATTGACCGGAAGGCGAGGTTTCCGGATATCTGGGGTCCTGGTATCCGAGGTCTCACTGTACATGCAATGGTCCGTTCAGATCATTGGTTCGAGACTCGCATTTAAGCAATGCTTTTATGATCCGGAAACACTCTTGCTCAGATCATGGTTGCTCAAAAATCTTAAAACTTGGTATTTTCCGCTAAAATTATGTTTCACTGTCTTGCTTTAAATGAATCACAGGGTCTCATATAAACTCCTCTAACCTCAGTGCGGCGTTACCAGCGTTGAAGAAATCGGCATGAACATCGTCCAGATTGTAGACAAATTCTGTTCTCAGGGAAGGCGACCCCGTCCGAATGTTCTCCCAGAGATTTATCCCGTCTATGTCAGCTTCTGAAACAATACCACGTTGTCATGGTGACCTATAATGGTAGGTATCAGAAATACATTCGTTGCTTCCCATCCTTGGAACAGTGCTGAATAGACATTTTGAACAAACTCCTTGGGAACTCCTTGTCACCTACTGTTTGTAAAAGTATGAGATTGTCATACCCATCCAAATATTTGCCATGACCACTTTCCAGTGAGGGGTAGTGGAGTAGCCGAGTGGTTAAAGTGTTCCCTCGTCACGCCGAAGACCCTGGTTCAATTCCCTACATGGTTACAATATGCCAAGCCCTTTTCTGGTGTTCCCTACCGTGATATTGTTGGAACATTGCGAAAGGCGGCGTAAAACTAGACTCACTCACTAAAACTTTCCGGTGAACTCTTAGATATTATCATGTTCAAGAAGATGTGGTTGACTGTGTCTGTTGTATAAACTCACCTGGCGTTCCTCCCCCTCCCGTCGCCGCCGCCACCAGGGTCGGCCGCCAGTCCACGACGTGTACCAATCTACAACAGAGACGTACGGGTATTCAGTAACGGCATCAACTCTCCACAGCTCTTATGTCATATGACTGACGTCTTAAACTACTGGTGCTTTCTTTAACCACATTCGCAATGCCATCGTTAGTTCGTCAGAATTCGGAACATAAGACTGATGTGTTTTTCATCTCTTTATATACTAGTACTTGCATCACGATATCTCACTTCCTAAGCACTTAATACTTCCGTGAGTAAACGGATTACTGTGTACTAGTATATCGCAGAGATAGGGATTTCCTGTGAGTAAGCAATAAACGCCGCCTGACAGGTTAAGCCACTCTGTTTGTTTTCACTGCTATTAGTGGCGGCCAAAGAGACAGCTGGCAGTCCCGGCAATTACTGATTGCGCGAATAATTGACCGCGCGAAGTAGTCTAAACTGTCAATTCCGCGAAAATTGCACCACGCGAAAATAAGTACGTTTACAGTATATGCACTAGCCTACAACAAAGACGTCTTCAGTAACAGTGCAACCTCCTACCTTTGATCATACTTCTCCGACTGGTCTACATTTATTTACAAACAAATTTATTTACGTAACAGATTATTTCGTAATGTGATGCTGGTCGAAAAGTGTTATATGACATTCAGATTTAACTGAAAATGCGTACTGATATTGCGTACTTTACATCCATGACAACCACTAGCCAGTCTAACCCATCAACTTACCCGTCACAGTCGACCACCACCACAACCCCTCAACTGACAGTCAACCACCACCACCACAACCCCTCAACTGACAGTCAACCAACACCACAACCCCTCAACGGACAGTCAACCACCACCACCACAACCCCTCAACTGACAGTCAACCACCACCACAACCCCTCAACTGACAGTCAACCACCACCATCACAACCCCTCAACTGACAGTCAACCACCACCACAACCCCACAACTGACAGTCAACCACCACCACCACAACCCCTCAACTGACAGTCAACCACCACCACCACCACAACCCCTCAACTGACAGTCAACCACCACCACCACAACCCCTCAACTGACAGTCAACCACCACCACCACAACCCCTCAACTGACAGTCAACCACCACCACCACAACCCCTCAACTGACAGTCAACCACCACCACCACAACCCCTCAACTGACAGTCAACCACCACCACCACAACCCCTCGACTGACAGTCAACCACCACCACAACCCCTCAACTGACAGTCAACCACCACCACAACCCCTCAACTGACAGTCAACCACCACCACCACAACCCCTCAACTGACAGTCAACCACCACCACCACAACCCCTCGACTGACAGTCAACCACCACCACCACAACCCTCGACTGACAGTCAACCACCACCACAACCCCACAACTGACAGTCAACCACCACCACCACAACCCCTCAACTGACAGTCAACCACCACCACCACCACCACAACCCCTCAACTGACAGTCAACCAACACCACAACCCCTCAACGGACAGTCAACCACCACCACCACAACCCCTCAACTGACAGTCAACCACCACCACCACAACCCCTCGACTGACAGTCAACCACCACCACCACAACCCCTCGACTGACAGTCAACCACCACCACAACCCCACAACTGACAGTCAACCACCACCACAACCCCACAACTGACAGTCAACCACCATCACCACAACCCCTCAACTGACAGTCAACCACCACCACCACCACCACAACCCCTCAACTGACAGTCAACCACCACCACCACAACCCCTCAACTGACAGTCAACCAACACCACAACCCCTCAACGGACAGTCAACCACCACCACCACAACCCCTCAACTGACAGTCAACCACCACCACAACCCCTCAACGGACAGTCAACCACCACCACAACCCCTCAACTGACAGTCAACCACCACCACCACAACCCCTCAACTGACAGTCAACCACCAACACAACCCCTCAACTGACAGTCAACCACCAACACCACAACCCATCAACTGACAGTCAACCACCAACACCACAACCCCTCGGCTGACAGTCAACCACCTCCACAACCCCTCGACTGACAGTCAACCACCACCACCACCACCACAACCCCTCAACTGACAGTCAACCACCACCACCACAACCCCTCAACTGACAGTCAACCACCACCACAACCCCACAACTGACAGTCAACCACCACCACCACAACCCCTCAACTGACAGTCAACCACCACCACCACCACAACCCCTCAACTGACAGTCAACCACCACCACAACCCCACAACTGACAGTCAACCACCACCACCACCACAACCCCTCAACTGACAGTCAACCACCACCACAACCCCTCAACGGACAGTCAACCACCACCACAACCCTTCAACTGACAGTCAACCACCACCATCACAACCCCTCAACTGACAGTCAACGACCACCACAACCCCTCAAGGAAAGTCAACCACCACCACAAACCCCTCAACGGAAGTCAACCACCACCACCACAACCACACCAACTGACCCGTCACAGCTGACAACCACAACAACTGACCCGTCGTACGTCACCCCCGTCCTCTGCAGCCCCACACCGTGCAGGAAGCTGACCGATCGGTGACCACCCTCCCAGATTGAGAGCTTGCCTCCCTTTAGAGGAAAGCTGTTGCCATGGAAACGCATATCGGGTCCATTCTGCAAATGTACAACTCAACATCTTTAAAGCCACATGTAATTGACGCGTGATATGAATGTTTAAATTAGAGAATCTAACGGACCTCTGTAATGGGCAGATCCCTTGACTGTAACTTTACTTTTCGATGATTAAAAATGATAGTGATGACAAAAAAGGTTGATATACATCTGCATTTCAGAAGCAGCCATCTTCCTCTTACATCAGATAGGAACAGTATGAGTGTGTTGTCCATCATGCCACGCTGCTTCAACGCTGCGGTGACGTTGCCAACGCCTTCATCTAGAGCCGACACCATCCCTGCATTAGAGAAATGTTTCACTGTTAGAAAAATAGCCTTGTCACAGACACTCGATAACTACAGAAGCATTCGTCACCACTCGCCCCTTTCCGTAACCTCCACGACTTGTACCGGAATAACACGAGTTCGTCACGAATGCTGCAACAGATTATATATACTATTTAAAAAGTGGGGGTCATTCCATTTTGGGTGATATTAGGGAACCGAGTTGTATGATTGTAGATGGATTTAAATATTATTTCATTCACAACGTGTTGAATTCCGTTTAAACACGCCCATTTCGTTCTTAACATGGTCGTGGTAAAATTCGAAATTTACAGTGGAACATGTCAGTGTGTTTTTGAACATTTCAATCAGAATGAACGTTGTCCTGATATTGTTTTAGAAGAAATTAAACATTTACATGCGGCCTCTGTGACGTCAGGTCAGGAACACCGGCGTGCAATGGACGTGTTGGAAGGTGGCAGGTGAAACAAGACTGAGCATTGCGTCACGGGCTCTTAACATTACACAGTCAGTAATTAGCAGATTGCAATCAAGATATCGGAAAACGGTGTTTTCGGATGGATCAAGGTTAACTTTAGATTCCCTGACTGACGCAACAGCCTGAATGGGCGTGTTCATGCCGTTAACGTTAGACAGAACGATCATTTGGGGTGGCTCAGTAATGGTGTGGGGTGAGATCACTGACTGGCGGACGCCTATACTTATTAACGGACGTGTCACTGGAAAGTATGACAACATCCCGATGGTGCACGCCGACATGGACGTTGTTTTGTTTCTGGGCAACAACGCACGAACAAAAAGCACTCCGTCCAGACCTGTCACCTGAACATATCTGGTATAACCTCTTGACATTGGACGGCGCTCACGTCACCGTCAATCAGCTACAGACCACGTTTAATGAGTTGTACTTGGCTCTGCCCTCCGATGTTTTGGCCCTTATGCCTGTTACCTCACAGTTGTTCGTATATAACACTGTTCTTTGATATAGACATGAACACAACCCACAAACATGGACTTAACTGGACCACCATGTTACCTCACAGTTGTTCGTATATAACACTGGCTTTGATATAGACATGAACACAACCCACAAACATGGACTTAACTGGACCACCATGTTACCTCACAGTTGTTCGTATATAACACTGGCTTTGATATAGACATGAACACAACCCACAAACATGGACTTAACTGGACCACCATGTTACCTCACAGTTGTTCGTATATAACACTGGCTTTGATATAGACATGAACACAACCCACAAACATGGACTTAACTGGACCACCATGTTACCTCACAGTTGTTCGTATATAACACTGGCTTTGATATAGACATGAACACAACCCACAAACATGGACTTAACTGGACCACCATGTTACCTCACAGTTGTTCGTATATAACACTGGCTTTGATATAGACTGGACTTTGATATATGTTACCTCACAGTTGTTCGTATATAACACTGGCTTTGATACATGAACACCCACAAACATGGACTTAACTGGACCACCATGTTACCTCACAGTTGTTCGTATATAACACTGGCTTTGATATAGACATGAACACAACCCCCACAAACATGGACTTAACTGGACCACCATGTTACCTCACAGTTGTTCGTATATAACACTGGCTTTGATATAGTTGTTAACTGGACCACCATGTACCTCACAGTTGTTCGTATAACACTGGCTTTGATATAGACATGAACACAACCCACAAACATGGACTTAACTGGACCACCATGTTACCTCACAGTTGTTCGTATATAACACTGGCTTTGATATAGACATGAACAGAACCCACAAACATGGACTTAACTGGACCACCATGTTACCTCACAGTTGTTCGTATATAACACTGGCTTTGATATAGACATGAACACAACCCACAAACATGGACTTCTCATGGGATAGGATAACACGTGTCCATATTGGGCTTGTAAGCAATAAGTGATGCTTCTTTGAAATGATATATATTGGCAAAAAAAATAAAGGAACCCCTTGACTGTGAAGCATGTATAATTTAATCAGCGCAACCGTACGGTAAGTATGTCAGATATACTTAATAACGAGTGTGTCCACCAGGAGCAGCAATACATGCACGACACCTTGCAGGCATGCTGGACACCAACCGCTGAATTGTCGCCCTTGGAATCAAGTGCCACTTTTGCTGCAGTGCTCTACCTAACACATCAAGATTTGCTGGTGCAGGCTCCCTGAGACGTACTCGACGCCCTAACACACCCCACAGATGTTTGATAGGGGATAGATCTGGTGTTTTAGCCGGCCAGGGTAAAGTTGTAACCCCTTGTTGTTGCAAGAAGTTCACGGCAACACGAGCTCTGTGAGGAGGTGCATTATCGTCCTGAAAAACAAAATTTCGACCTGCCCTGTGAGCCATTGGAACCACGTGTGGCCATAAGATCTCGTCCATATACCGCTGGCCTGTCAAATTACTCCGTACAAGAATCAAATTAGTCCTCCTATTGAAAGAAATTCCTCCTCAGACCATAATAGGGCCGCCTCCATAAGAATCCTGTACCGTGGGTCTCCCATAACGCTCTCCTCGGCGTCGCCACACACGCAATCGTCCATCCGTGAATCGCAAACAAAAGCGGGATTCGTCATTAAGCATCACATGTCGCCATTGCTGGTTCCCCCTCTTCTGACTTTGCTGAGCCCACCGATAACGAAGACGTCTGTGGTTAGCTGTCATCGACACGCCTTTGAATGGACGTCTTGACTTAAGACCTCTGCTACGGAGCCTGTTTCGTACAGTAGAGTTCGAAATCCGTGTTCCTGTGGCTCTGAAGAATTCCATCTTCAAATCCGGGGCTGTGACAAATCGATTCCTCAGAGCTATAGCTCTCGTGATGTTGCCTTGTCTGGGGTGGTTTTAAGGCGTCTTCCTCGACCGGTCATCAGTTTAACGCCCCCTCTCTGACGGTAAAGGTTGATGAGACGGGAAATTACGCTTTTGGACTTCCTGAAGAATCGGGCAACACTATTCTGAGATTGTCCACCATCTATCATGCCAATGGCCTGCCATTTCTGTGCGTTTTTCAAGTACTGTCGAGGTGGCATTTTCACAAGAGATAGAGGGACACGCTTACTGTCAGTTTTATAGGCTAGGATGCACGTGTGGTGCATGATGCACGTGTATCATGGAAAGGTAATATGGTGCTGACTATCGTGTCAGCCGTAAGCGATTAAAGATCTGGGTTCGAATGCAGTCAGCTTGCAACTTTTATGTAGCATTGTGTCAACTATTCATCTACGTGGGGGTTCCCTTATTTCTTGTGCCTAGTATATTTGCACGTCCAAATGGTGTCTCATTAAACCTAGGGATGTGAATCTGTTTAAGGTCTGTTATTAAAAAAAAGTACAGTCAAAACCTTTCTGAGTATGCTGACTAAGCATCAGTACAGGTAGTACAGATAGTGATATTTAAACTGGAAAATCAAATGTTTTTACAGAATTGAATTTGGTTCTTTCATGGATTGTCAAAAGCCAAGGAAATATGTTTTTAAGAATCCACATTGTATTTATCTCAAATATTTACTGTGAATATAAACAAATTGTCTTCACTTGACTATTCAGTGTTATTGGAGGTATTGGACACAATTCTAACTAAAACAAATTCAAATTTAATTAAAGCTATTAAACTACACAATTTACAATTTTAATGCTTTTACACACATTTGTGTTTTAAGTCCACTTTTATACGTGAACAACTACAGTCCGTTTGGCTCAAAAGCGGACCGATGAATTGCAATCTAACTCGAAAACTAATAAACATAACATACTCAATGAAACGCTGATCATAATCAAAACATCATACCCACTCTGTGAGGTTTTTGCAGAATTTTTGTCCTAAAAATAATAAAGTTGTTTAACAAACTATCATTAAAATATTGACACAGTTTACTGTTTGTTACGAGGGAGGAGTGCAGAGAAAGGGACAGCCAGGTGTTCGAGAAGCACAATCACAGACAAAGTTATTTATTCATTAACCTGTGCTGTGCCGTCTCCATCCTTTCCCGCACACTTGGCTGTCCCTTTCTTTGCACTCTTTTCTCTGCATGTTTTCGAGTTAGATTGCAATTCATCGGTCCGCTTTTGAGCCAAACGGACTATAAGTTGCTTTTATGCAACATTTCTATTCTAAATAACCGTATTGGAATTGAAACATTATGACATGTTGCTACATTGAGGTACGGCACACAACTTACCACCTCCGTGGTGTAGTGGTTAGAGCGTCCGCCCGGATAGAGGAAGGTCGCGGGTTCGATCCCCGGCCGCGTCATACCAAAAGACGTTAAAATATGGTACTTGTTGGTCCCTGCCTGGCGCTCGGCATTAATGGGTACAAGGACTGGTTGGCTCGGAGTCGGTATAATGTGTCTGAGTGGGGTATTCATGCTTTACTGCGGCATGGTATCTCAGTGGGCTGGCACTATAAAACCAGCTTCAGTCTGGGCTAGTACAAGCAGCCGCACATACACATCACACGCATGCACGTCGTCATATGAGCGAAATATTCTCAAGCACGACGTTAAACCCAATTTCACCTCACCTCACAACACACAACTAAACTCCAAAACATACACGAAATCACATGTCCCGTTCAATGTGCACGTGAAAATCAATGTTTTCATGTCCACAGTTAAATGTCTTCGGGTGCGTTTTGGCGCACTGTTTTCGTTGCTGCGTTTTATCACACAGTTCTCCTGTTCAATTATGACTGACTGGCTGACTTTGTTTAGCTTAACGCCGCTTTTAGAAAAATTCCAGCAATATCACGGCGGGGGAATGTGCCCATGAGGGGATTCGAACCCGGGTCTTCAGCGTGACGATGTCCAATTATGGTTGATCTTTAACAAAGATTTGATGGTATTTCCCCCAATCTTTTCACTGTGTGCATCCTACCAATGCTACCACGCACTAACTTAACTAGTGTGCCCTGAATCCACAAGTCTAGAAAATGTACCAATGAAGAAAGTCTCACTCCTTTTCACTATGAACTGAAAATATATTCATTTCAGAGACTAGTTGTTAGTCTATGACTTAACCTACTCTGACAGAAATTCTATTTTTTGGCATATTTTTTATTCCTGTAAAGATGTTTTGTGATAGAGAAGCATTGTATGGGACATGAGAGATAAATACTAAGAAAATAATTAAGAAAAAAGAAAAGAAAGAAAGAAAGAAAGGCATGATTAAATCAACAAATAAGTCAATAAATAAGTAAATAACTAAGTAAAAAAATAAATAAATAAAATGTAAAACAAAAAGATATTTCATTCTTTCACACAATCATACCAATGCATATATACCCAATAAGTGATTAAATCATTTTTTCATTAATTAAGTTTCGATACTTTGCCCAATTCCTTTCAAAATCATTAAGCATGGCTTTTTACAATACAGCGGGTTTCTCTTCTTATTAGGCCCATCATTGGCATATGCTTCGTCAGCATCTATAATGATTTCAATTTTGAAGTTCTATCCCATACGGTTGAGGGTTGCTCACGATAGTTTGGTCCATATTTGAATAACTGACGAAAGTTGTGCAACTCACGCATAAAACCGGCAAAGTGAAAACCAACAATTGTGCAACTCACACGGTGCAACTCTCACGGTGCAACTCAACTCACATGTTTTGGAGTAGTAGTCCAGAGCCCCCGAGTAGTAACCGAAGAAGGAGTCGAACCCACGGTAGGTGGGAGTACACGCCCACTTGCAGAACCCAAGGTGCCATCTGAGGAATGGACGTTGTCCGTGACAGTTGGTTGGTTGGTTTGTCGTTTAACGCCGCACTCAGCAATATTCCAGCTATATGGCGGCAGTCTGTAAATACTCGAGTCTGGACAAGACGATCCAGTGATCAACAGCATGAGCATCGATCTATGCAACTGGGATACGATAACATGTGTCAACCAAGTCGGCGAGCCTGACCACTCGATCCCGTTAGTCGCCTCTTACAACAAGCACGGGTTACTGAAGATCAGTTCTAACCCGGATCTTCACGGGTCTCTCCGGGACAGAGTACCAGCATGACGTAACAGTCAGAGTTAAGTTAACATACTGAGCAGAAACATTTCGAGACGAAACAAAAACTATTTCGAACATTTGCAAAACTGACAAAACGTAGAGTCCACCGGAAGTACATTGACCAGTATGGTCGTTGTGTGCTTGATCTGAGATGACCAGTAAATGACCACTTGTTAGTCACGTGTCTTACTTGCCCACCAGGTGTGTGGAGTAGCCGTGCTGTCGGAGATCCTCGCTCATTAGCCGGTGTTGCGTGGGGAGGCAGGCGTTGTCAGTCGAAAATAGAACGCCGTGCTGGAACCCACGGATGTAATATTTGTATGGAATACTGTAAGGGACATTTTCATGATCCGGCATCTTCCATTGTAGTTCTCTTCGAAAGGTTGAGATCGTGAATGTCCCTTGCAGTATTCAATATACGTTTACTGATGTGAAGTGAAACAAAAGCTAACCATGCTGAAACATCTATACTCTTAAAAAAAAGTAGGGGAACCTGAACTTTCAATTTGGATAGGAAATATACTGAGTCAAAAAAGAAACTTCACAAAATGTAATTTGAAATATAATTAATATTTTTTCTCTGATGATACATCTATGTATCCGAAATGGGATCGCTATCTGTCGACTCTAGAAAAACGTTAGCAAAACCCACTCAAACCCATCCATTCGTCGTGCAAATGACGTTAGTGCCAAATCAGGTTTTGCACGTGCAGTCGATCACGTGATCTTCGCATCGAAGATTTCTTCCTATGCACGTGTTTGCATTGGCCTCAAGAATTGATAAAACACATTTAAACCACAGTTCTAACGGTACTTGAAATGCCACGATTGTCAAATGTGCAACGTGAACGTGCCGTTGGCATGTTGCAAGCGGGAAGATCAGTTATTGACGTCGCAAGAGCAATGGGATGCAGCCGTCGTACTGTGTATGACTTGCGAGGTCGTTTACAACAAACTGGCACCACTTCTGATCGCCCAAGGTCGGGTCGTCCACGTGTGACGTCACGAGCAGAAGACCGTCAAATCGTCCTACGTCACCTACGTGACAGATTTCTGCCGGCTACACGAACCAGGGCTGAGATGTTTAGAGGTCGACTGTCCTCACAAACCATTCGAAATCGGTTGCGGGCTGCCAATCTCCGTTCTCGACGTCCATATCGTGGGCCAATATTGACGCCGTTTCATCAACGTCAACGTCTGCTGTGGGCCCAACGTCACCTCCGATGGACCCAGAGACACTGGAATCGAGTCGTCTTTAGCGATGAATCCAGGTTTACCCTCATATTCGCAGACGGCAGGCATAGAGTCTGGAGACGACGAACGGTATGCCCAATGTTGTGTACAGGAAGTCGACAGATTCGGGGGCGGAAGTTGCATGGTGTGGGGTGCTTTCTGTGGGAACAACCGTTCCCGATTTCTGGTCTTCCGTGGAAACCTCACAGCTGCTGCTTACCGCGACCAGGTGCTCACCCCTTAACTCGTTCCTTTCATGGCGGCTCATGGCCCAGGTCTACAGTTCCAGCATGATAATGCTCGGCCGCATACCGCGATGTTGACACGAAATTTCCTTCAAAACGCTGGAATGAACGTCATGGACTGGCCATCGAGGTCCCCTGACCTTAATCCAATAGAGCACGTTTGGGATGCACTAGGGAGAAGGCTTCGTGGTCTTAGAAACCAACCTCAGAATTTGCAGGAACTTGGCGCTGCTTGCAAGAGCAATGGCGCAGAATCCCCAACCACGTGTTCACTAGCATCAGGCAGTCGATGAGGAGACATTGTTTGGCAGTGGTGAATGCGCGGGGCGGCCATACACAATATTGAACTGAGAAATTTCGCATTTTTATTCTTGTGACTTGACATTCTGTATACCCATGTTTTGGAACGGCTGTGTAGCCTAATGGACCTGATTATGGCACCGTCAGTGTATCGAGTACATCACACAGATCTCAGCAATTAAATAATAACAATTTAACCATCTTACCATCTCTTGTTCTTTTATAGTGCCCTGAAGAAAGAATGTGATGTTTCTTTTTTGACTCAGTATATAAGCATTAACACCCTTTCTAAAGACAGACATCTAATGAAGACACCAATATTTCTCTTTATCACCACCCTTAAACACGCCACATGGGGTGCACGTGCACAAAGCAGTAGCCCCATACACGTGCATGGGGTGTCATTCTTGATTTTGACGATTTTCAAGAATGTTGACAAATCACTGTAGACCATTAATTTTGACAATTATCTTGCATCACACAGTTGTTAGTGTTTGTTTCTAGCCAGGTTTTTGTTTTGTTTTTGTTTTATGGGTTTTTTAAATGAAAATCGTACACACGTAAATGTATAATACCCCAATCATCTTTCAAGGGCGATTACTGTACAAACGACTATGGTCATAAGGCAGTGCAAGTGGTGATGCACTCTAACAACATTCACTATTGTCATAACAACATTGATTGACTCCGATTTTATCAATCGTAAATGAAGTTCCCTTACTTTTTATGAAGAGTATATTTCCATAAGTAAGCAACTTTAAAAATACCGATATCTACACAGGCAACACATTGTTAAAAGCATCTTGGATATCATTTATTGGAGAGAATTATTTTCACAGGTTAGGCACAAGATGGTTTCAGAGAGGGGTAATCCAATATAGGCGATACGTCACTGTTACGTTCTCTGATCAAAAGTCATTTATCCTTTGAGGTACATTTATCCTTTGAGGGACATTGTATGGGAATTGTGGTAATTAACTCATAGCAAACTCTGGGTTCCTATTAGCTCTAGAGGAACTAGCAGAATATTACCGGTAAATTAGGTGAAAAAAAAGCGCAACAGTATTCTACTGACTGAATGCAAGTGAGGTGGCATACAAGGGTGTATGGTAAGACCCATTCTCTTTACTTACTAAACTGGCGAAAGTGTGAAGGCGGCATATATTTGCACTCAGATATTGTTGAAATATCTTTCATTCTTTGCTGATGATACTGTTATGATTTCGAGTCCAGTCCATTACACCATCATATGTTTAAGTACTGAATTAGTTGCATTTATAAAACGGACGAGGACGCCAAACGTGAGGATGGTTTTATAGAGACGTGATTTGGATATTATTACAGAGGATATATTTTCTACTATGAATTTCGTCCATGTGAGGCTCATCAAAATAGGGTTTATGAATAAACAAACAAACGAAATATCCTACCTGCATTCCCGTCTTGAATGGGTATCTGCCAGTCATTAGAGCTGATCTTGTTCTGGAAACAGTATGTCTTGTAAATATCATGATCACCATTATATTTAGGACTGGTTCCACTTGATCCAACACACTACATCACTGTACTTACGGTGTACAGATAGATTGTATATAGGACTGGTTCAACTCTCTACATCACTGTGCTTACGGTGTACATATAGATTGTATATAGGACTGGTTCAACTCACTACATCACTGTACTTACGGTGTACAGTTAGATTGTATATAGGACTGGTTCAACTCTCTACATAACTGTACTTACGGTGTACAGTTAGATTGTATATAGGACTGGTTCAATTCTCTACATCACTGTACTTACGGTGTACAGATAGATTGTGTATAGGACTGGTTCAACTCTCTACATCACTGTACTTACGGTGTACATATAGATTGTGTATAGGACTGGTTCAACTCTCTACATCACTGTACTTATGGTGTACAGATAGATTGTATATAGGACTGGTTCAACTCTCTACATCACTGTACTTACGGTGTACAGATAGATTGTGTATAGGACTGGTTCAACTCTCTACATCAGTGTACTTACGGTGTACAGTTAGATTGTATATAGGTCTGGTTCAACTATCTACATCACTGTACTTACGGTGTACAGATAGATTGTGTATAGGACTGGTTCAACTCTCTACATCAGTGTACTTACGGTGTACAGTTAGATTGTATATAGGTCTGGTTCAACTCACTACATCATTGTACTTACGGTGTACAGATAGATTGTGTATAGGACTGGTTCAACTCTCTACAGCACTGTACTTACGGTGTACAGATAGATTGTGTATAGGACTGGTTCAACTCTCTACATCACTGTACTTACGGTGTACAGATAGATTGTGTATAGGACTGGTTCAACTCTCTACAGCACTGTACTTACGGTGTACAGATAGATTGTGTATAGGACTGGTTCAACTCTCTACATCACTGTACTTACGGTGTACATATAGATTGTGTATCGGACTGGTTCAACTCTCTACATCACTGTACTTACGGTGAACAGATAGATTGTGTGTATAGGACTGGTTCAACTCTCTACATCACTGTACTTACGGTGTACAGATAGATTGTGTGTAGGACTGGTTCAACTCTCTACATCGCTGTACTTACAGTGTACAGTTAGATTGTGTATAGGACTGGTTCAACTCTCTACATCGCTGTACTTACGGTGTACATATAGATTGTGTATAGGACTGGTTCAACTCTCTACATCACTGTACTTACGGTGAACAGATAGATTGTGTGTATAGGACTGGTTCAACTCTCTACATCACTGTACTTACGGTGTACAGATAGATTGTGTATAGGACTGGTTCAACTCTCTACATCGCTGTACTTACGGTGTACAGATAGATTGTGTATAGGACTGGTTCAACTCTCTACATCGCTGTACTTACGGTGTACATATAGATTGTGTATAGGACTGGTTCAACTCTCTACATCACTGTACTTACGGTGTACAGATAGATTGTGTATAGGACTGGTTCAACTCTCTACATCGCTGTACTTACGGTGTACATATAGATTGTGTATAGGACTGGTTCAACTCTCTACATCGCTGTACTTACAGTGTACAGTTAGATTGTGTATAGGACTGGTTCAACTCTCTACATCGCTGTACTTACGGTGTACTGATAGATTGTGTATAGGACTGGTTCAACTCTCTACATCGCTGTACTTACAGTGTACAGTTAGATTGTGTATAGGACTGGTTCAACTCTCTACATCGCTGTACTTACGGTGTACAGATAGTGTATAGATAGATTGTGTATAGGACTGGTTCAACTCTCTACATCGCTGTACTTACGGTGTACAGATAGATTGTGTATAGGACTGGTTCAACTCTCTACATCGCTGTACTTACAGTGTACAGTTAGATTGTGTATAGGACTGGTTCAACTCTCTACATCGCTGTACTTACGGTGTACTGATAGATTGTGTATAGGACTGGTTCAACTCTCTACATCGCTGTACTTACGGTGTACAGATAGATTGTGTATAGGACTGGTTCAACTACTCTACGTCGCTGTACTTACGGTGTACTGATAGATTGTGTATAGGACTGATTCAACTCTCTACATCACTGTACTTACGGCGTACATATAGATTGGGTATAGGACTGGTTCAACTTGATGCCTTGTGTTGCTAGGCGGTCGATGTTTGGCGTCTTCATGTCGGGGTTGTGGTAGCCAATATCGTTCCATCCTACAGGAGATAATATAGTAATAATATATTCAGTTGTGTTCCATCCTACGTGACATTATACACACACTGTATTAATCATAATGTACTAATGTACTAATGATAAGTACGAAATGACGCTTTACGGTAAATAGTTGATGACGGTGAGAACGATGTGGTTTAGAGTTGCCATCCTTGAATATCAACTTTTTTGCAAGGGGATGGTTATCAAAATGTGGCACGACGGCCGCAACCCGTACTTTCTATTGAAAAGGATGACCATTGAGCGTCCCAGGTACTAAAATATTATTCAGCTGCACGGATCATCTCCTGGTGATATGCGTCGTTACGACGTCTCCATACACGACAACGGCAATCGGTAACAAGTAGAAGATAGCAACCGACATGGTCATAGGATAGTGTCTTCCTCGGTCTTCCATATCTACACATGGGGGTCACGTGGACATGTTTTCTTCAACTAATTGATACTCACCTAAATCATCAGTCAGTATAAGATACTCACCGAAATCATCAGTCAGTATAAGATACTCACCTAAATTATCAGCCAGTATAAGATACTCACCGAAATCATCAGCCAGTATAAGATACTCACCTAAATCATCAGTAAGTATAAGATACTCACCTAAATCATCAGCCAGTATAAGATACTCACCTAAATCATCAGCCAGTATAAGATACTCACCTAAATCATCAGCCAGTATAAGATACTCACCTAAATCATCAGCCAGTATAAGATACTCACCTAAATCATCAGGCAGTATAAGATACTCACAAGCAGTAAATCATCAGTCCAGTATAAGATACTCACCTAAATCATCAGTCAGTATAAGATACTCACCTAAATCATCAGTCAGTATAAGATACTCACCTAAATCATCAGCCAGTATAAGATACTCACCTAAATCATCAGCCAGTATAAGATACTCACCTAAATCATCAGTCAGTATAAGATACTCACCTAAATCATCAACCAGTATAAGATACTCACCTAAATCATCAGTATAAGATACTCAGTATAAATCATCAAATCATATAAGATACTCACCTAAATCATCAGTCAGTATAAGATACTCACCTCAAATCATCATCAGCCAGTATAAGATACTCACCTAAATCATCAGTCAGTATAAGATATAAATCATCAGTCAGTATAAGATACTCACCTAAATCATCAACCAGTATAAGATACTCACCTAAATCATCAGTCAGTATAAGATACTCACCTAAATCATCAAGTATAAGATACTCACCTAAATCATCAGTCAGTATAAGATACTCACCTAAATCATCAGTCAGTATAAGATACTCACCTAAATCATATAAGATACTTACTGACCGAAATCATCATCAGTCAGTATAAGATACTCCTAAATCATCAAGTATAAGATCACCTAAATCATCAACCATATAAGATACTCACCTAAATCATCAAGCCAGTATAAGATACTCACCTAAATCATCAAGCAGTATAAGATACTCACCTAAATCATCAGTCAGTATAAGATACTCACCTAAATCATCAAGCAGTATAAGATACTCACCTAAATCATCAGCACCTTAAATCAGTATAAGATACTCACCTAAATCATCAGTCAGTATATAGATACTCACCTAAATCATCAGTCACCTAACCTATCATCAAGCAGTATAAGATATCACCTCTAATCAAGCAGTATAAGATACTAAATCCTAAATCATCATCAGTCAGTATAAGATACTCACCTAAATCATCAAATCATCAAGCAGTATAAGATACTCAAATCATCAGTCAGTAAATACTCATCATCAGTCAGTATAAGATACTCACCTAAATCATCAGTCAGTATAAGATACTCACCTAAATCATCAGTCAGTATAAGATACTCACCTAAATCATCAGTCAGTATAAGATACTCACCTAAATCATCAGTCAGTATAAGATACTCACCTCAAAATCATCAGTCAGTATAAGATACTCAGTATAAGATACTAAATCATCAAGCAGTATAAGATACTCACCTAAATCATCAGTCAGTATAAGATACTCACCTAAATCATCAGTCAGTATAAGATACTCACCTAAATCATCAGTCAGTATAAGATACTCACCTAAATCATCAGTCAGTATAAGATACTCAAATCATCAGTCAGTATAAGATCATCATCAGTCAGTATAAGATACTCACCTAAATCATCAGTCAGTATAAGATACTCACCTAAATCATCAGTCAGTATAAGATACTCACCTAAATCATCAGTCAGTATAAGATACTCACCTAAATCATCAGTCAGTATAAGATACTCACCTAAATCATCAGTCAGTATAAGATACTCACCTAAATCATCAGTCAGTATAAGATATCACCTAAATCATCAGTCAGTAAATACTCATCATCAAGCAGTATAAGATACTCACCTAAATCATCAAGTCAGTATAAGATACTCAAATCATCTAATAAGATCATCATCAAAGCAGTATAAGATACTCACCTAAATCATCAGTCAGTATAAGATAGATACTCACCTCACCTAAAAGATCATCACCTAAATCAGTATAAGATACTCACCTAAATCATCAGTCAGTATAAGATACTCACCTAAATCATCAAGCAGTATAAGATACTCACCTAAATCATCAAGCAGTATAAGATACTCACCTAAATCATCAGTCAGTATAAGATACTCACCTAAATCATCAGTCAGTATAAGATACTCACCTAAATCATCAGTCAGTATAAGATACTCAACTAAATCATCAAGCAGTATAAGATACTCAACTAAATCATCAAGCAGTATAAGATACTCAACTAAATCATCAGTCAGTATAAGATACTCACCTAAATCATCAGTCAGTATAAGATACTCACCTAAATCATCAGTCAGTATAAGATATTCACCTAAATCAGTCAGTATAAGATGCTCACCTAAATCAGTCAGTATAAGATGCTCACCTAAATCATCAGTCAGTATAAGATACTCACCTAAATCATCAGTCAGTATAAGATACTCACCTAAATCATCAGTCAGTATAAGATATTCACCTAAATCATCAACCAGTATAAGATACTCAACTAAATCATCAGTCAGTATAAGATACTCACCGAAATCATCAACCAGTATAAGATACTCACCGAAATCATCAACCAGTATAAGATACTCAACTAAATCATCAGTCAGTATAAGATACTCACCGAAATCATCAGCCAGTATAAGATACTCACCTAAATCATGAAGCAGTATAAGATACTCACCTAAATCATCAGTCAGTATAAGATACTCACCTAAATCATCAAGCAGAATAAGATACTCAACGAAATCATCAGCCAGTATAAGATACTCAACTAAATCATCAGTCAGTATAAGATACTCAACTAAATCATCAAGCAGTATAAGATACTCACCTAAATCATCAGTCAGTATAAGATACTCACCTAAATCATCAAGCAGAATAAGATACTCAACGAAATCATCAGTCAGTATAAGATACTATAAGATACTCAACTAAATCATCAAGCAGTATAAGATACTCACCGAAATCATCAGTCAGTATAAGATACTCACCGAAATCATCAAGCAGTGTAAGATACTCACCGAAATCATCAGTCAGTATAAGATACTCACCGAAATCATCAGTCAGTATAAGATACTCACCTTAATCATCAACCAGTATAAGATACCCACCTAAATCATCAGTCAGTATAAGATACTCACCTAAATCATCAGCCAGTATAAGATATTCACCTAAATCAGTCAGTATAAGATACTCACCTAAATCAGTCAGTATAAGATGCTCACCTAAATCATCAGTCAGTATAAGATATTCAACTAAATCAGTCAGTATAAGATACTCACCTAAATCAGTCAGTATAAGATACTCACCTAAATCATCAGCCAGTATAAGATATTCACCTAAATCAGTCAGTATAAGATACTCACCTAAATCAGTCAGTATAAGATACTCAACTAAATCATCAGTCAGTATAAGATACTCAACTAAATCATCAGTCAGTATAAGATACTCACCGAAATCATCAAGCAGTATAAGATACTCACCGAAATCATCAGTCAGTATAAGATACTCACCGAAATCATCAGTCAGTATAAGATACTCACCGAAATCATCAACCAGTATAAGATACCCACCTAAATCATCAGTCAGTATAAGATACTCACCTAAATCATCAGCCAGTATAAGATATTCACCTAAATCAGTCAGTATAAGATACTCACCTAAATCAGTCAGTATAAGATGCTCACCTAAATCATCAGCCAGTATAAGATATTCACCTAAATCAGTCAGTATAAGATACTCACCTAAATCAGTCAGTATAAGATGCTCACCTAAATCATCAGTCAGTATAAGATACTCACCTAAATCAGTCAGTATAAGATACTCACCTAAATCAGTCAGTATAAGATACTCACCTAAATCAGCCAGTATAAAATACTCACCTTAATCATCAGCCAGTATAAGATACTCACCTAAATCATCAGTCAGTATAAGATACTCACCTAAATCATCAACCAGTATAAGATACTCACCTAAATCATCATCCAGAATAATATACTCACCTAAATCATCAGTCAGTATAAGATCCTCACCTAAATCATCAACCAGTATAAGATACTCACCTAAACCATCAGCCAGTATAAGATACTCACCTAAATCATCAGCAAGAATAAAATACTCACATAAATCATCAGTCAGTATAAGATACTCACCTAAATCATCAGCCAGAATAAAATACTCACCTAAATCATCAGCCAGTATGAGCACAATGTTTGGTTTCACGTGATCCTCACCCCCAGCTGCAGCTGAAAGTAACATCTGGCTGAAGACCCATATACAGCTGTAGATCTCACTCAGCCATCTTGCCATAGAATCCCTTCTCACACGGGGTCCCGCTGACATGTGAAGACGGTGACTGTATACCCACCAACAACGGCTACGTTACACGGTGAGGCTACAGCGACGAAGTAGTGACGCTTCCACAAACAGCACTTAACGACACAGTTCCACATAAACAGCTCAAAACGAACAAGCAGCATGACATAGTTGCTCAATACACACACACAAGTATTAATGATTGTATCTGATGTATAACAAATGATATAAGCGCCATATGTGTATCATAGCACATTTGAAATGTAACTCATTACGCGCAGTAGCTATATAAAGAGTTCAACGTTATTAATACAAAATCCCTTTGTGGATCACAATTTGTTTGGGAGACATCTGTGGCCAGTAATATATAAACTCGCAATAATGAATATATGTGTATATTGAATTTAATACACCCAGATCGTATCTGTGTAAATTGTGCGATAGTGTTATGTGGAGTGTAGATATGATACATATCAAGATCGACATATGTTTTTGGGGAGTGAAATGCATATTAAACAACGAAACGTGTTGATATTTTTATATGTAGGTAGTCTTACTAGTTCTCAAGCTGTATACTATTAAAAAACGTTGAGGATATTCCATATAGGGGTGATATTATTAGGGAACCAAGTTGTATGATTGTATTGTAAGGTCTTCAGGCCCACATAACACGCAACACAGATGTACAAATAAGAGACGTTTACTTGACGAAGACAAAGACGAGACTGACTTCAATTGAGAAACAATCACACGACACAGTTGACGAGTCCACGTGCGGGCGCACGCTATTGATGGATGCGTTCGTGCGATGCTGTCCAAATACCGGGAACAACCTCACATCCCTCCCCCTCTTAAGAAAGGTCTCACACGACTTGATCAGCACTAACGACGACTGTTTCTCTCCATGAACGATCAGATGACTTGACTTGTAGGAACTCACACTTGGATACCACAAATCCGGACTTGAAATGTTGTTTCTTGAACTTGTGTCCTCCTAATATTTTGACTGCAACACGATCACCAACATTAAACATCCTTGACACTCTTTGTGATGTCTGCTCCTGACGATGTAATTTAGCCGACGTATGGGATTCGACACACATATCCCACACCTCTACACAGCTGTCCATCTCCTCCCCCCACAGAGGAAACATCGTCTGACACTAATTGATGAATCAAACTGTTACGACCAAACATAACAAAATAGGGAGCGAAACCCGTGGTACGATTTAACAACGAATTATGTGCTAACACAATTTCTGGCAAAACTCTGTCCCACGTTTGTTACACTCTGCTGTTTTCACTAAAGAAGTTTTTAATGTTCTGTGAGCTCTTTCAACTGGATTAGCCTGAGGTCTAGCAACTGGAGTCTAACTGCATCTGATTCCCCACTTGGAAGTAAACACACAAAATTCTTTTGATGTAAAAACAGTACCATTATCCATATGTAAAACACCGGGTGGACCAAATATGGAAAACAGACGTTCAAGCACTGTTGTTGCACTAGATGTCGTCGCCGTACGAACTGGAAAGGCGAAAAACATCCTACTCAAATCAGCTAAACATGTAAACAAATAACCACAAGACGAACGTGGAAGTGGGCCAACAAAATCCTCCCAAGAACCTCCCAAGGACGCGAAGCAGTAACAGTAACACCTAACGGAGACCTTGCTATAGCATGTGGACCCTCTATACACACAGTACATTTCTCCTCTATTTTAGCTACCTCACGTTGTGTAACTGAAGAATCAACTTTTTTGTGCTAATTGCCATGTTCATGTGCTTTGATAATAATATCACGTCGTTTTTCTTGACCTCTAGTCACTCTAGTCACAGCTTACATTGGTAATTCATTGGCGTCTTCAACAGGCTTACGACTCAAAATATCACTTGGAATGTTTTCATTCCCTGGAATGTGATCAATGTCAAATGAGTACTCAGAAAGTTCTAAACTCCATCTGGCGAATTTCTGATTTTGATGTCAAAATGTATGTCAGAGGTTTATGATTTGTTCTCAAACGAAACGTCTTGCCGAACACATAGGGTCGAAATTTCCTAACAGCCCAAATTATTGCCAGTGCTTCTTGGTGGATAGTGGAATAATTTCGTTCAGTTTTGGAAAGTTTCTTTGAAGCATATCTGATGGGATGGTCATCTTGCAAAAGCACTCCCGCTAAACCTGTCTAATAGCATATGTTTGTATTATGAATTGCGATGCCTCTGCACTAAAATCAGGATGTTTCAAAACAGGGTAAGACGTCAAGACCAGCTTGAGCCTATCAAAAGATTCCTGATGTGGCGACTGCCAACAGTAGACACGCTTTTCAACAACACGACTGAGAGGCATAATAAGGTCAGAAAAATTTGGAATGAACCTCTGAAAATACGTTGCAAGGCCTACCAACGAACGAACTTCTTCCCATGAAGTCGGAACCGGAAACTGCCTGATTGCTTCCAAACCTTTCTTTCCTGGACTCACACCTTAAGCAGAAATCTCATATCCTAGATATTGGACACTCTTCATGAAGAAAAAACATTTGTCTGGCCTCACAGCAACACCACAGGATGCAAACTTTCCAAATACCTGTCTCAAACTGTCCAAATGTTCATTAGCTGTACGAGAATGGACTAACACATCGTCCAAATACACCAAAACATGATCACGAGTTAAGCCACCTAGTACTACATGCATCATACGCTGAAAGGCTAATGGCGCAGTCTTTAATCCGAAACACATTCGTTTGAACTAGTAAACACCTGAGCTTCTTTGAAATGCAGTGAGAGGACGAGATCTACCAACTATCAACCCAGTCCTAGATTCAAACTCAGAATGTTTTTCTATCATCACATGTCCGGCCACAGTATTTGACTGACTAATAGCTACTCTCAAGATTGCTTGACTTCTTGGTGGAATAGTAGTACTTTCAGCAATATGAACCTTGTGTACAATTCCATCAGTAACTAGATGTATAAAGTCCGCTGACTTTTCCTTTGGCTTAATGACTATTTCCTCAAACCTACACATAAAGTCCCATCCTAGCAACAAATGGTCATCACGAACATCCAACACATGGAATCTACAATCATGGATTTCACCACTGATCTGTATAGTTGTATCGAACACACCGATAACGCACAAAGAACCCGACAGATCAGTTAATTTAGATTTTGTCTCTTCTAGACAAACACCATTTGGAAAAGCTCTCTTAAGCAAAGACACATTTTGCACGAGACGCTAGCTCCACTATCTATGATTACAGCGAAAGACTCGCTACCAAGACTGATTTGTGTGGTTGGTGAATTTTTAGGAATTGAGGGAAAGTTACTGTTGGTGTCTGAAGAAACAATGTACATGGGATTTATCTGGACACTTAGTCGCAATGTGTCCATATTTTCGACACTTGTAACACCGAATGTTTCTGTACTTTGACATATCACTCGACTCTGTATCACGACATTCAGCTGCTGACTTTAAAGAACAAAACTTGCTACGACTATTTGATGAACCTAAATCCCGTTTCTTCTTGTAACACTGTCGCTCTTGATGACCTGGCTTCTTGCAATAATTGCACTTGATAAGAAACACAGACTAATCACTGTCCTCACACAGAGAACCCGCAAGACGTCTAGCCATGTCTACAAGAGCATCAAATTTTGGAGATTTAGATTGTTGACAAATGGCAATGTTCAGTTGTTCTCTCAATTTCTTACTTGACAAGCCATCAAAAAATCCTTGAGCACAGAGTTCATTTTTGTTTGATTTTGCGAATGAGGGGTATGCTTCATCAACCTTGACCTGAAGATGGTTGGCGAAATCATCAATGGATTCATGGGTTTTTTTACACATGTCTCTGAACTCCCTAGCAGCAGTTTGAGTACGCTCTTGAGTTCTATCAAGTTCTTTAATCAAAGCGGCTTTCAGACTTGCATAATTAGTTTTGTTTTCATCCGAAATATCGTTGAATACTCGTGAGCAAAACCCTGCAGGAAGTACTAAAGCTAAGCCACGTAACTTTTATCAGAGTTCCAGTTTAGGCCCCAAGCTTTCACTTCATACACATTTTCAATAAAGTTCGCAAAAGTTGACCGTTTGGGATCAAACAGAGGAATTTTGAAATGCTTGATATCGCCAGAATGTTCTTGACTTGTACCACCTTCAGCCATGATGAAATGAAAAGTATTCTTGCTTAAATGTTCAATGTCATTCACACAGAAGACGAAAAAGTTCAACCACAAGGTCAAAATGGCAAAATGGAACAAACTCACGTCACAGTTCGATGAAGAGCACATTCCTTGAAATTCTTCTTAAAGTCGCACTTCCTTCAAAGTCCTTCCATGTGTCCACACTATCCAAACGCTGCCACCATTGTAAGGTCTTCAGGCCCACATAACACGCAACACAGATGTACAAATAAGAGACGTTTACTTGACAAAGACGAGACTGACTACAATTGAGAAACAATCACACGACACAGTTGACGAGTTCACGTGCAGGCGCACGCAATTGATGGATGCGTTCGTGCAATGCTGTCCAAATACCGGGAACAACCTCACAGTTTATGGATTTAAAAATAATTATTTCATTCACAACGTGTTAAATTTAGTTCAAACACGCCAATTTCGTACGAGCGTTCTTAATGATGTGCACTTGAGCATAGTGTGGGTAAAATTCGAAATTCAAAATTTCGAATTATGTCATTGTGTTGCTGTTAATTTCAGTGATAACGCCAGACTGAACGTTGTTCTGATATTGTTTTAGATTGAACGGTTTCTGTCACGTCAGGAACGGCCACGTGCAATTTTATGTTCGAAGTTGGAATTAGGAATTAGACACAGCATTGTCCCATGTAATACATGTAGTCTCACCTTAGGCAAGTGAGTTTGTTCAACGTTGCCTCAGTTCACCCAGCAGAAAATGGGTACCAGGTGGGAATAGGTCATGTGACAATGAATCTAGCGCCTCACAGGCAGCTTGGGTTATCCGGAGTAACATTAATGTCCTATGCTTTGGTTAGCCTGTTTTTATTCATTGTTATCGCTATGAGCGTAACTGGTGTTGAGTTTGGCGCTATACAAATGGACATTATATTTATTATGTTTTTCAGATTAAGATAAAAAAAAATGCAGCAGAGAGGGTTCGGGTGATCCTGGCACAGTCAG